CAAATCTCTGGGCAGGTTTTTGTGAGAGCAAACGGCTCTCGAGTTACATGATTTCTGGGTTCCGGCAGCAAGATAATTCACACTCGAAGACTGTCGTTGGGTTAATGTAGGCTGTGGTTGAAGCATGGGTTGCTTTTGAAATGTGGGTTCTTGTGTTGTCTGAACCAACCAAGATAAACCATGGTAAACAACCTATAGTTCACTATCCATCAGCAAACCTCTCGCTCTCTTCATGGGTTGCTCATGGAGCTGAGAGAACATGATAACCCACAGTTCAAGAACAACCTATGGTTTAGTAACAATCCATACTCAATGACTTATCATGCTGTCTGAACCCACCTCTCCCAGCACCATATCTTCAGTGGATCCCACCGATGTCAGACAGAAGTCATTATATGAAACTTGCCATAAATCACACCTGAGGCCTGAGCGCCAAATTCAAATTCATATTTTATTTAATCAATATTTTAATATGTTTTAATATTGAATTTTATTATTGTATTTTATAATCTTGCAGTCAGAGTGGGTCGTCTATTTATGCTGTAAGCCGTCCAGAGATGCAAGTAATTGGAGGCATACAAATTTAATAAGTAAACAAATAAACAAATATGAGTTCTTGGCTGCACCCTAGTGGTGGGGGTGAGCCAAAAGCAAAAAGGGCAGAGCCAAAAAATACCAGCGTCGCTTAAAGCCTCCTATTCTCAGTTACTAATTCTGGGGAAGCACTTGAGCCTATTAGAATGTAGGGTGCAGAATCCACCAGAAATGCAAAGAAACTACCAATCTGTGGTTGGGGGCACAGGGGTGGGGTAAAGGCATGGCCACCTGGGCACCAAATCTGGCCCCTGAGCCCTGACGTTATCCATCCCTGCTTTAAGAAAGAGTTGAATACTGAAGTGCTGTTTGGGTCTCTTAGAGAAAGATACTGAAAACAAAGTCCCCCTGAATAATTTCCGCTGTGTTTTTCAGATATCCTGGGACAACGTCGTCGTAGATTTAATTCAAAACGGCAGTGCAATCACAGTGAACAATAAAAATAAGTACGTAAAGATGACTTGTTTATACTCATGGTTTATTCTTTTGTATTCAAAACTGCCCCTAATCCAAGAACTGTGGATTTCAGTAGCAGTACGTGCTGTAAGCATCCATTTCTCTAGAGGGTTTATAATGTGAAACAGACTTCCACAACCTGGTGCTCTCCGGGTGTATTGCATTATAACTCCACCATCCCCAGCAGCATGGCTCGTGTGGAGGCCATCCAAAATCAGTGCCGAAAATGAAAAGGGAAGCTGTGAAGGCATTGGTGGGAACTAAGATGAAAACAGCCTGTTCTCCTCCCTTTCACAGTTGATGCCATTTTACCATCTTTGCAAAGCAGCATGTTTCACTGCTGCATGAGTTCAAGCTTGCTTCTGAGCCAGCGTGGTGTAGTGGCCAGGGAACTGGACGGGGATTTGGGAGAGCCAAGTTCAAATCCCCAGTTGGCCACGCAGCTCACCGGGGTGACCTTGGGCTGGTCGCTCTGTCTCAGCCTAACCTGCCTCGCAGCGTGGTGGTTTTGAGGATCAAAATGGAAAGAAGGAAGATTAAGAAGTGACTTTGGGTTCCTTGCAGGAAAAAAGCATGGCATAAATATAATAAATAGACACATGCACAAGAGGGACTAGTGTTAAAGCATTCCTACTCATACATTTGGAAGTAATCCATTAAAGGAACTATACAAATATATGAATGTATACAAACCAACCTAGTTAAGGGAGTGGTGTATTTGGACTAGGAAGACTTGAATTCAGACCTTTATGAATTTGGAAACATACCAATAAATGTTTAAGGAGAGATTTGGGGAAACAGGTCAGCTCTTCTTTATGCCTCAGGAACAAAACTACTAATTTCTATTTATTTCTTTTCAAAGGAAGAAGTTTGTTGCCAAGTATGTGGACTACGTCTTCAATACATCGGTGGAAGAAATTTTCAAGGAGTTTAGGAGAGGGTTCTACAAAGTCGTTGGTGAATCAATAGCTGGATTCTTTGAGCCTCAAGAACTGATGGACGTGATGATTGGAAACACAAGTTATGATTGGAACGCGTATGAAAAGGTTGACAGAGGGGCGAGGGGCAACGGACAGGGTGGGCAGCCTTTTTGCTTCTCAGGGCAACTGCAGGATGTTGTCCTGGTTGATGACATTTAAAGGGATCATGCAGATTCATGGCTCTCGGTATGAGGGTTCTATACAGCCGTCAGGATCAGGGGCAATGTGTCTTTGGGACCAATTGCTGTGGAAGACAAACAGCAGGATACTGTGCAGTCTTGTCCTGCTAGCAAGTTTCTTGCATGCATCTGGTGAGCCACTGAGGGAACAGAATGCAGGACTGCATGGGCACAGGTGCATATGTCTGTGCACATGTGCTCTCTCTGCCCCCATCTCAGCTCATTGAATCTGCATGCTGCAGTCCCATCATGCATTTCGCCCATTCCTGCTGACTAGTGCTGGAGCAAATGCAAATTAGCTGCTCAGGGGGTAGGACAGGCAGCTTACCTAGGGGGAAGGCACATGAAGAGAATGACTCTCCCCTCACTCAGCCACAGCTTTTTCTCTGCTGCATTGCACTCTGGGTATGTTTAGACTGGTAAGAGCATAAGTTTAGCCAGGAGGGGGAAGGCACAGGGGGAGAGTCATCTCTCACGCTCTTCTTCCCCAGTAAGTCACCACCTTCCTAGGTGGGTCATATTCCTGACCCGATGGGGACAGTGCATGGGAAGGAGGTCATTCTGGGCACATTCCCTGCATTGCCACTCCATCCCATTTTACAGCCCACTCAGTGGGAGACTTGGGGGGATTCAGGGTCTTAGGCAGCTGTCACAGGCTCCTGTGAGCCAGATTGCCCACCTGTTTTCTAGACCGTTAGGGGGCTCACAGCAGGTACTGAGCGGGAGCCATTCATGTTGGCTCCTCCCACTACACCTCTGGGCCTGCTGGCTCCACACCCTCCGTCCTGATCTTGCTGTGTTGAACTGGCAAGGGATGGAAGGAGTTCCAGCCACGTTTGCTTTGAATATGGGTAGAACTGTCAGCATGATTTGTTGGTTTCTATGTGGTCATTGTGGGCTTGAACCAAATCCATTGAACATGACTGGGTCAAGTGAGGGTGGACACAGCACACTAGACAAGTTAGGGATCTAGTGGGTGGGCAGCATAGAGAGCCCCTTCCCTTGCCCACTTTGAACCCTCGTGCATCACCTTGAATGCAGGAGCCCAGCTTCTGCCTTCCAAGCTTCCCTTGTGCATTTTGCTCAATCTGATGTTGTCACTGTTTTGTTTTGCTTTGAAGAATGCCGAATATTGTGCTATATACAGTCCCACACACCCTACTATAAAGATGTTCTGGGAGGCTTTCCATGCACTAACTCTGGATGACAAAAAAGGCTTTTTGTGTAAGTGTTTTATTCCACAAACTTCTATGTTTATTACTCTCCAAAAATCCATGATAGAGAGTCCCTGTCTTTGTAATGAAGTGGCATAAGCCTCAGTCCCCTGTGGAGAACTTCTGAAATGGCAAAGGTCTCCAATATGAACTGGAATAGTGTTGGGCTGGACTTGGAATTCCTAACTCAGGTTCTTGTCCTTACTCAGGCATGAAGCTCACTGGGTGACTTTGGGCAAGGTCTCTCTGCCTGTTTTTGTTTAGTCACTAAGTCATGGCCGACCCTTCACAACCCCATGGACAACATTCCTGCAGGCTCTCCTGTCCACCATCCCCCGGAGTCCACCCAAACCCCCTCCGACCATCCCAATGACCCCATCCAGCCACCTCAGCCTCTGCCATTCCCTTCTCCTTTTGCCCTCAATTGTTCCCAGCATTCAGGTCTTCTCCAATGTCTCCTTTCTTCTCATTAGGTGTCCAGAGTATTTGAGTTTCATCTTCAGTGTCTGACTTTCTAAGCAACATTCAGGGTTGACTTCCTTTAAGATTCATTGGTTTGATTTCTTTGCTGTCCAAGGGACTCTCAGGAGTCTTCTCCAGCACCACAATTCAAAGGCATGCCGGCTTTCCAAACTCAGATGTCTCTACCAGTTGCTGGAGGTCACTGTATGCTGTAGAGACCTCTTGGGTTTTGGGCCTCTAGCTCAGAGCGGTAGAGCATGAGTACGTACCCCAGGGCCAGAAGAGACATGGGCCCACATGGACATCCACATTGTCATGCAAACATCTTCCCTATGGTGCAATCCCATATTGCAGGGAAAACGTGCAAATGAAGCAAATGCGTAGCTCAGAGGGCTGGGAAGGACCTTGCAGCATCTTGGGCTGATACATCCATTCAGGGTTTGTTATTCTGGGGCGAAGTATCTCATGCACATTTGAAATTGCCTGAATCTTCTCATACTCATCATGAGTTGACTAATCCTTTCCTTTACCATCCCAGTATTTGTTGCAGGAAGTGACCGGGTCCCTATGAACGGAATGAACTCCTTGAAGTTACGTATTTATCACTGGAATTGTTCCCCTCCTGATGATTATATCCCTCAAGCTATAAGCTGCCATCATATTTTGCTGCTGCCGAATTACTCAACCACAGAAAAACTGAAGAAGAAAATTCTACAGGCTATTGAGAACAATCAAGGCTTTGGCAGATGGTAAAACTGACTCAGAGACTCAAGAGTGCTTACATCTTCCATTGGCTTCAAGTGTGCGAGCAAGGATTCTCCAGTTACAATCCTGTGCACATTTAGGGAAAACACTAAAGCTCCTAGCAATCCTCAGCCAGCCTGTCTGTCAAAACATTTTCTCTTTAAACATATACAGAATTTTGCTGTTAATCATGGGGTTATTGGCTGGCCCTTTAATGATACTTGGACTGCCCAGTGATTTTCCTGCTAAGAAAAAAATACAACATTAATTCTTGGTGGTAGTTTGCTTTTGATAGATAAATGATTAACAACTACAGTTTGTACCCAGTTATTTTCCTCTAATACCAGTAATATTTCTGAGAATACAAACAATGTATCCTCTAAAAGTTTGTGTTCCTGTATTTTTCAATTACCCCATAATAAGTGTTTTATTGTGACTTGAAGAGGTCATGCTTCAACAGCTTCTTGATGTGAACAGACCTAGCACCTGACACACTTTGTTCAAATATGTACAATGTTTTAGTTTCTGTTTTAATATCAAAACACTTGATATTTGTATATGCAGTGACCCTCACCCACCCTTTATTTCCTTAAAAAAAACCCTGAAAAGCCCCAATTGTTGGAATCTTTCCTCCTGTGAGACTTCTTGCTCCTGACCGATCCTCCCAATTCTGTATTCCACTTTCAAGTGGAAAAGGAAGAAGACTGGCTGAAGCTGTGTGTACACAGAAAGGGCAGAAGTATTTAAATGTCTTTCATAAATTGTAGGGCCAGCATCAAGGGTAGACTTGGGGCACCTGCTTGGGTGTCCGCCAATAGGAGACCCCAGAACTGAGGCTCTTCTCGGCCATTGCAACCTGCTGCTTCACCTGCCTCCCCTCTGGTCCACACAGTAGTGATGGTGAGAGGGAGCAGCCGGTGGTACTGCTTACCTGTTCTTTGTGAGTTAAGCCTGCAAATAGTTGCAGGGATGAGAGGAGAAGCAGTGACATCAGCTGGTGAGAAGATACAGCTCACTTGAGAGGATCTTCCCTCTGGCGCTGAAAAACTGGAAGCAGACACAATAAGCAGTGCTCAGCCTGAACTATGTTTCCCTCTATAAATGGTCTTCCTAGGCAATGATGCCCCTCAAAGTTTTGGTTCTGCCTTCCTTCAGCTTTAGGAAAACAAGTGTTCTCCCATTCATTCATTCATTCATCTTGTTGTTGTTGTTGTTAGTTGCGAAGTCATGTCCAACCCATTGCAACCCTCCATTTTCCTCATGCTTCTGCTGGCAGGTTTTTAAAAACATGCAGGAACTTTCCTAAGGATTTGGATATATGCTTCAACTGCACCAGTTTTACAGTTTGTGTTATTTTGGGTGTCGTGGTTTGTGGCAGTGGCCATTAGACACCAACATTGTTCTTTTAGGCATAGAATAACAACCTGTTCTTTAAAAATACATTTTGAAATTGTCAAAGTTTATTGATAATTGTATAGCTGGAGTTTTAAATATTGTACCAAGTTTCTGCATGTCTTAGAGCCCAAGATAAGCAACACTCTGTATGCATATAGAATAAAATGATTACAAAGAAAGTAATGAATCAAAGTTATATTTTCTATATCCTGCCTTCTTTGCTTTAATGAGTTTGGAGCAGCTTACCAATGGTGGCTCTTTCTCAGTCTGTTCTTTGTAACAACCCTGTGAGGTAGCTTGGGCCAAAAATGAATGACTGGTCAAAAGTCACTCATATTTGCAAATATGGACATGGAACTTTCGGCTATGATATCCAGCCTAGGAAAACTTATTTGCACCTCAGTCCAGTGTGTCTTCCAATAATTCAATATTAAGCAACAAGCTTTCAAGTTTTGAAAATTGCAGTAGGCCTTGGAAGTGTGAACCTGAAAGATGTGTTTAATTGATGGCTGGGGATGCTTTAAAATTAACAGTGACTCTTGGTTAAAGTTGACAAATACTTTTAAGAAAATTGAACATACGGAAGGTTGTGGCCGTATGTGTCATTGCAGGTTATTACTTACGCAGTGGGTGCTTCTAGATCAGGGTTAGGAAATGGTCTCGCCAGCTCTGGCCGGTACTGAAGGCTGCGAGGAGGGCTCCAGGTTTCCCAACACTACTAGAAGGAAGGTTTCTTCTGTACAATATTTGTCTTAGCGTTTTTCCTTAAGATAAAATAGGAACAGGAAGGGAGAGACCAGCGCAAGCCACCCTAAGCTCTTGGAGAGAGACAGCATATAAGTGCGAAGCAAAACAAGACATATGTGGGCCCAGGAACACGGGAGAAAGCAGAGACATTCCGGCACTATTTCTGTCCAAGGGCCCATTACTCCCAAAGGAAAGTGGGTGTGAGGAATGCAAATACAAACTCCACCTTACTCTTATGGTCATAGAATCATTGAGTCGAATTGGAAGGGGCCAAGAAGGCCATTGGGCTCAACCCCCTGCTCAGGGCAGAACTTCAGGTCAAGGCATCCCTTGCAGATGGGTGTCCAGCTGCCTTTTGAATGCCTCTAGTGTGGGCAAGCCTACAGCCTCCCTACAGAATTGGATCCATTGGATTCAGGTTTTTCCTGAAGTTCAGCTGGAATCTGTCTTCCTGTTGCTTGAGCCTGTTATTCCATGTCCTGTACTCTGGGATAATCAAGAAGAAATCCTGGCCTTCCTCTTTATGACAAACTTTCACGTCCTTGAAGAGTGCTCTCACATCTCCCCTCAGCCTTCTCTTCTCCAGGCTAAACATGCCCAGTCCTTTCACTCTCCCCTCACAGGGCTTTGTTTCCAGTCCCCAGATCATCATTGTTGCCCATCCCTGAACCCCTTTCAGATAGTGCAAGTGTCAGTTCATGCACACTGCATACTTAGTTGGACTCTATTTGCATTTTCAGAAAGGTGTCTTGCAGCCTCACACATCACGAGTCTTTGTTTCATGCAAACCAACTCTCTGGGTGGCATTTTCAATCTCTCCTTACAGGGCTTCATTTCCAGTTCTTGGATCATTCCTGTCGCCCCCCTCTGAACCCTTTCCAGCTTGTCTGCGTCTTTCATAAACCATAGTGACCAGAACTGGACACAGTACTCCAAGTTGAGGTCTAACTAGTGCGGAGCAGAGGGGAACTGGTACTTCACATGATTTGGAAATGATACCCCTATTAATGCAGCCCAAAACAGCATCAGCCCTTTTTGCAGCTGCATCACATCATTGGCTCGTACTCAGCTTGTGATCTACAACAATTGCAAGACCCTTCTCACACTATTGTTGAACCAAGCATCCCCCAACTTGTAACAATGCTTTTGGTTTATTTATCCCAGGCACAGAACTTGGCATTTGTTCCTACTGAATTTCAAGTCTGTGGTTTTCGGCCCAGCACTCCAAGCTATCAAGATCACCTTAATCTTCTTTCTGTCTTTCGGAATTCATGATGATGCTATGATTTGAGTGTTTAAATACAAAAGTGTCCTTGCTCAGAGTACTATTTTGTAACTGGTATGGTAGAAGGATTTGTAAAGCACTGATGGGAGCAAGAACAACATGTGTTTCACTTCTATGTAATGCAAAAGGCTGTTCAAATGTGCTATTCAAACCATATAGCACATTTGTTCCCCTCCTGATGATTATATCCCTAAAATCTGTGTGTGGAATGGGCAGTCCTCTTCAAAAGTCCTCTTTTTATTTTCCCGGTATTTTAACCATTAATTGGTTTTATCCTTGTTTTTATCACTATTTTTAGATGCAGTGTGCTGTGCATTGTTGCTGTTATGTTTTTTGTTCCCTGTAAGCCACCAAGAGACTTTTTTAGTAATGGATGGCATAGAAAAACTTTAAATAAATAAATGAAGAGAGGTCAACCCAACAGCGGGGCTGTCCTGCAACCATGGCCCCTAGCCAAGTTTCTTTTCCTTTCCCTTTACAGAGAAAGACTCTTTGGGGCTGCTTTCAGCAGGATGTGCAACAGCACTTTCCCTTTCCCAGGAAGACTCGTGCCTCTGCCATGGTGTTGGGAAGAGAAAGCAGGAAGGGAGCCAAACGTCAGCAAAAGGAGACCTGTCTCCTCAGGCTGTGGCCACTACAGAATCCCATCAGACTCTGGAGAGACCTTTCAGTTTCCTCCTCCTGTCGGCCTTGAGCACCTTTCCGCCTTCTTGCGCTGTACTTTCAGTCTCTGCCTGGGGGCAAAGCCCCCTTCCTTTCTCTGCAGAGGCAGAGCAGAGTCCAGGGACCCGTGTGCTGCTTTGGCTTCTGCCCAAAGGCGGCTCACGGAGTGTGGCGCTGGGGCTGGGCGAAGAAAGCGCCCAGGGTGAAGGTGAGCACACAGCCGGCCTCCAGGTCCAAAGCCGTAGATCAATGGTCCTCAAACTACGGCCCACGGGCCAGATGTGGCCCGCCATGCCCATTTATCCGGCCCACCTCGGAGGTTTTGGCTTGCCATGCGTGGGCACGTGGTGAGGCGGTGGCTTGCTCATGCCGAGATTGTTTTGGACTTGGTTGGAGAAAACGATCTCTGGGCGAGCAAGCCGGCACCTCGCCGTGCATGGGCTCCCGTCCCTGTGAGTGCCCCCCAGCCCGCTCACCCCCTGCGACTGTAGGTGGATTTAAATGCAAATAGCACACGCTTCGAGTATCATTTTTGACAGTTACTGTTCTAAGATCAGAAAAGCAGAAGCATTTGTAAAGCACGGGACGGGGGAGAAGTGTTCTGCACGGCACATCTGAATTCGCGCCAAAGGGGGCTTGAAGCTTTACGTTCGGGACCCTCGTTGCCCCGCGCAGGCCAGGATTTCAGGGCAGCGGGTCGGTTTTGCTGCAGCGCCGTGCCCACCTTGGCTTACGGGGTGCGGGATGGGCACTCCGCTGCAGAGGAGTCGCCAGCCCGACCGCGAGGCTACCGTGTCCCGTGGCCGGTAGCCAGGTCTTCCGCGCCCAGCCGTCCCTTTCCCCGTCGGACGCGCGGCGGCGGCGGCGGCGGCGGCGGCGCTTTCCATTTCCCGGGAAGACACGCCTCCTCCTGCCGCGGCGTTTCGAAACAGAAACCGGGGCTGGCGCCGAGGCGAGCTTAAAGCGACGCGCGGACTCGCAGCGGACCCTGGCGAGGGACTTGCAACCTGCGCGCAGCCTGAGCGCCTTGTCGCCTCTCCGCGCTGCGCCCGGAGGCAAAGCATCCCTCCTCGCGCCCTCTCGCGAAGGCAGAACGAGCCGGCGGCCGGGGCAAAGGTGGTGCGCCGCTTCCTGCCCCGGGGCGGCTGAGGAAGGCTGTCCGCAGACGAGATGCCGCAGCGAGCCGGGCGCCGGGCGCCCAGGGGGAAGGCGAGCGCCCGGCCGGACCCCCAGCGGGACTCGCCTCCCGCCCCGCCACGGCGCCCCGGAGCCCCGCTGCTGCTGTTCCCCCCGGGCGGTGGCCGCACGAGTCTCGCTCAGCAGGACCCCCGAGCCATCCGCCAGATCAGCTGCAAGCACGGCTGCGTGGCCGTGGCGAAGGCCGGCGGGAGCGTGGAGGTGGTGTGCAGCGCGGAGGACGGAGCGCCCCGGAGCCCTGCCAGGCGCCCCCGTGAGTAGCTGGCCCCCAAACACGGGGGGCGAGGACTTGCTGGGGGGGGGGGGGCAGCGTGCTGCATGCTCTGACAAATCTCAGTGTGTGAGAGAGTAAGAAATAAAGAGGAATCGAGACGTCGTGTCTCTGAGCGAGTCAATGCTTTAAGGACATGTTGGGAGAGGAAGGAGGCTAGCCCAGAGCAGAGCTTCATGCAGAGACACAGTAGGAATCCTCTTCTGAAGGCAGGCCGTGTTACCCCTGTGCCAGTCAGGGTGTCTGCATTAAGAAACCCCCACCGAAGCTGAGGCTAGCACAGTTCATTATGCCTGGACCAGACCCACAGATTCATTGGGGTGACTGGGCATACAGCTCAGTCATTTGCTTCTGGTAATACACAGTTCCAGAACTGGTCCACATGAGGCATTGATGGTGCACTCCTGTTTCCACACTCACACTGGTTTGTGGGTGCTTTAAACAATGTTGCCATTTCTCAGAGCTTCTCCAAGTCTTTGCAACCACCCCTGCAGCTTTTTTAAAAAAATTAAGCATCGTGGGAAGTCGGGTAATCATTACCTGGACATTGTATTATCTGGAAATTCTGTTATGAAGGGCTTGTGTATTTTCACAATCCTGCTATACCGCAGCACCATTCTGCATGTGGTTGTTTAATGGGACACAGAAAGAAAAAGGAGAGATGCGTAAAGGAACCAGTCCTTAACACGAAGCCTACCGGCTGCATGCAGCCCCCAAGGACTTGCTCCGCAGCCCTCTAGCTGCTCAGAGCGCCCGTTGCAGCGATGATACGGGCATCATCATGGTGAGCTCTCATCCCATTCTCTCCCTGGGGCTCAGGAGCTGAGCGCCTTTGTACAGCATGCTGGGGAGAGTCCGTCAGCTCATGTACAAGAGGGTTCCGTGTCGAAGCCCCCATGTGGCCCTCAAGGTATGAAAAGCTGGACCGCTCTGATCGAGAGGGAACAGAGTTGGACGCGCTGGTTGTAGGCAGTTGCTTTGCATTTGGGTCAAGAGCACTGGAGTCCCTTTGGTGTGTGATCAGTTTGCCTCAGAGATGCTGGGGCTGTGCAACCAACCTCTTCTTTTTGGTTTGAATGGGTGGTCACGCTTCCTTCAAAATTGGCAGTGTTGTCCTTTTGATTTAACTGCACTTGGCTTCTAAAACAAAATGTGATGTGGAGGCTTCTGGAGAAGGATGCTCTTTCCCCCAATGTTGTGTCAGCAACACAGTTTCTGTTTCTCACTGTATTGGGACATTTACTTTGCTGTCAGATCAGTTTCAGTTTCCAGTCGGCATCCAGAGAAGCCTTAATTCCTGTCACCTGATCCCCAGACTTGTGTGATAGGTCAGAAACATTAGCGTGAGAGTTATGAAGAAGGCAGGGAGTCTTTGCAGTATAGAAAAACAAAGATACATACAGCCTAATATGCTTAGTGTGGTGGTGAGAGGGTTGGACCCAGGACCTGGGAGATTGGGGTTCTCATCCCCATTTGGCCATGAGGTTCACTGGGTGACTTTGGGCCCAGCACAGACTCTCAGCCCAACCTACCTCACAGGGTTGTTGGGAGGATAAAATGGAGCTACATATATCATCTTGAGTTCTTTACAAGAGGGAAAAAAGGAAGATACAATTGCGCAATAACAACCACTGTTGATAAATATACATCACTGTTATAAAATGTTAAAAATAGGCACAATGCTTGTTAGTTATCCCAGCATCTTTGTGCTCATTGGCCAGAATATGATTGATTGACGAGTATGTATGAATCATCCACAGGTATGAGTTAATAGTAGAACCAGTGGAATTTGCCACAGAATGTTGTGTGTGCGACGTTCCTGTGCAGAACTCCAAGTCGCCATGCCCTCCTCAAGGATATTTTCTCCCATGCCCCCTCCATCTTGGTTTTCCCTTAATTTCCTGCTCCAGCAATCCTCATTCTGTGGCTGCTGACCATGCTCAGTCCTGACTGGGCAGTTCTGCAAATCTCTGGATTCCCACAAGCTTGCTGATACTTCACTCGTGTTGTGGATAGGTCTAGCTTGGCTACACACAGGGCATCACTCTTATTTTATTTTTATATCCAGACTTCCAATTTTATGGAATCCCTAGTGTTGCTTACAAATAGAAATATATGAAATAGCAATTCATGTAACAACATGAAAATCATGGCAGACTTTGTCTTGGTTTATCTATCTTACAGGCCACATCAAACTGGAAAAGAATACCAAAGTGGTTTTACTGGACTGTGAAGCAACTCATCTGCTCATCCTCTCATCAGAAGGGAAACTTTCCGAGCACAGTATTGAAGCTGGAGAAGTTAAATCAAAGCCGAGGTATAAAGGTTTCCATTACACAAGGGCGGCAGGGCAGTGGTTTGTTGTATTCAAGGCCCCAAGATTTTATAGTTTTTATTGTACTATTTATTGATTTTATTATTGTTTTATTGAATTGTTTTGATTGTTGTTATATGAAGGCCTACAAGACCTTCTAGAATTAACACCAAAAAATGATGTCGTTATCATCATGGGGGATTGGAATGCTAAAGTAGGAAGCCAAAAGATAACCAGAATAACAGACAAGTTTGGCCTTGGAGTACAAAATGAAGCAGGGCACAGGCTGGTAGAATTTTGTCAAGAGAATATGATGGTCATAGCAAACATTCTTTTCCAACAACCCAAGAGACAAATCTACACATGGACATCACCAGATGGTCAACACAGAAATCAGATTGACTATGTGCTCTGCAGCCAAAGATGGAGAAGCTCTGTACAGTCAGTAAAAACTAGACCAGGAGCTGACTGTGGCTCAGACCATGAGCTTCTTGTTGCAAAATTTAGGCTTAAGTTGAAGAAAGTAGGGAAAAGCACTAGGCCACTCAGGTATGACCTAAATCATATCCCTGATGAATATACAGTAGAGGTGACAAATAGATTTAAGGAATTAGATCTGATAGACAGAGTGCCTGAAGAACTATGGACAGAGGTTCGCGACATTGTACAAGAGGTTGCAACTAAAACCATCCCAAAGAAAAAGAAATGCAAGAAAGCAAAATGGCTGTCTGAGGAAGCTTTACAAAAAGCTGAGGAAAGAAGGGAAGCAAAAGGCAAGGGAGAAAGAGAAAGATACACCCAATTGAATGCAGAATTCCAAAGAATAGCTAGAAGAGTTAAGAATGCCTTCTTAAATGAACAGTGCAAAGAAATAGAAGGAAACAATAGAATAGGGAGGAACAGAGATCTCTTCAAGAAAATTGGAGATATGAAGGGAACTTTTCATGCAAAGATGGGCATGATAAAGGATCAAAATGGCAGGGACCTAACAGAGGCAGAAGAGATTAAGAAGAGGTGGCAAGATTACACAGAAGAACTAAACAAGAAAGAGCTTAACGTCCCTGATAAGCACTATGGGGTGGTCACTGACCTCGAGCCAGACATCCTGGAATGTGAAGTCAAATGGGCCTTAGGAAGCCTGAGCAACAGCAAAGCTAGTGGAGGTGACAGCATTCTAGCTGAGCTATTCAAAATCTTAAAAGACGATGCAGTAAAAGTGCTACACTCAATATGCCAGCAAATTTGGAAAACTCAGCAGTGGCCACAGGATTGGAAAAGGTCAGTTTACATTCCCATCCCAAAGAAGGGCAATGCCAAAGAATGTTCAAACTACCACACCATTGTACTCATTTCACATGCTAGCAAAGTGATGCTCAAAATCCTACAAGCTAGGCTCCAGCAGTATGTGGACCGAGAACTACCAGAAGTACAGGCAGGATTTCGAAGAGGGAGAGGAACTAGAGATCAAATTGCCAACATACGCTGGATCATGGAGAAAGCTAGGAAGTTCCAGAAAAACATCTACTTCTGCTTCACTGACTATGCTAAAGCCTTTGATTGTGTGGATCACAACAAATTGTGGCAAGTTCTTAAAGAGATGGGAGTACCAGACCATCTTATTTTTCTCTTGAGAAACCTATATGCAGGTCAAGAAGCGACAGTGAGAACTCGACACGGAACCACTGATTGGTTCAAAATTGAGAAAGGAGTTCAGCAAGGCTGTATACTGTCTCCCTGCCTATTTAACTTATATGCAGAGCACATCATGAGAAAGGCGGGGCTGGATGAATCACCAGTTGGAATTAAGATTGCTGGGAGAAATATCAACAACCTCAGATATGCAGATGATACCACTCTCATGGCAGAAAGTGAAGAGGAACTAAAGAGCCTCTTGATGCGGGTGAAGGAGGAGAGTGCAAAAGTTGGCTTAAAACTCAACATTAAGAAAACTAAGATCATGGCATCCAGTCCTCTCACTTCCTGGCAAATAGATGGGGAAGAAATGGAGGTAGTGACAGATTTTATTTTCCTGGGCTCCAAGATCACCGCAGATGGGGACTGCAGCCAAGAAATTAAAAGACGCTTGCTCCTGGGGAGGAGAGCTATGGCAAATCTAGACAGCATACTAATAAGCAGAGACATCACCCTGCCAACAAAAGTGTGTATAGTCAAGGCTATGGTTTTCCCAGTTGCAATGTATGGCTGTGAAAGCTGGACCATAAGGAAGGCTGAGTGCCGAAGGATTGAGGCCTTTGAATTGTGGTGCTGGAGGAGACTCCTGCGAGTCCCTTGGACTGCAAGGCGATCAAACCAGTCAGTCCTTGAGGAGATCAACCCTGACTGCTCTTTAGAAGGCCAGATCCTGAAGATGGAACTCAAATACTTTGGCCACCTAATGAGAAGGAAGGGCTCCCTGGAGAAGAGCCTAATGCTGGGAACAATTGACGACAAAAGAAGAAGGGGATGGCAGAGGATGAGGTGGCTGGATGGAGTCACTGAAGCAGTTGGTGTGAGCTTGACTGGACCCCGGGAGATGGTGGAGGACAGGAAGGCCTGGAGGAATGTTGTCCATGGGGTCGCGATGGGTTGGACACGATTTCGCAACTAACAACATATGTGCTGTAAGCCACCCAGAGAGCCTCATGGTTATGGGAGTGGGATATGAGTGCAGTCAATAAATACATGAATAAGAAGGCTCTAGATGAGGAGGGTCAATGCAACAGGTTGGATTGCCCTGATGCCATTAATTTTGCATAGAAAGGCAGGATATGGACACATCTAATCAAGACCTGTCCAAGAGGCTCACTTGCAAACAGCATCCTCACCTCTGCAATCAAGGGTCTAGCCAGCCAAGTTACTTTGGTATCCGAGGATAGGAATGTCGGAGAAATCTGCAAATGGATTCCAATGAGTTCAGATTCCTAGGAATCCAACCTGTAGCAGACTGGCTTTTTCTGAGTCTCAGTATACAAGGAAGTATACATAACAGTATACAAGGAAGGTCATCATCTTGGCTGCTGCTAAAAAATGATTCGGCATTGTCATAGTCATGTTGATGTACTGGAAGCAGAATTTTCCAGTCTGAATACAGGTGGACTTGGTTTGTACAGTTTGAAAAAAGTTGTTTTTATATTTGAATTGTTTGTCCCAGTCATACACGAGGAATCTTAATGTTTGACTAACCATATATGTATGCATTTTTCTTATGAACAGGCTACTGAAAGAATTAGGAGGCAGACAGATTATTCAGATTGCATGTGGTGACAACCATTCCTTGGCACTTTCAAACGGTATTAAGCATCTTTCATACAGCCCTTTTTGTGTTTATTTAAGCATATACTCTTGTCCCATGCAGGGTAACGTTTCTGGCCCAGGAGGTGAATTTATCATTTTGCTTTTTGGACTGACACTGTGTTTGCTCCATGGTTGTTTGAGCCTGCAGGCATTTAATTTTAGGAATCCCCTTTTCTGTCCCCCAGCTTTGTTAGATTCTCTTTTATTACCCTGTCGGTCGTGTTATTTTTTCCATCTGCCCCTTCTCATCTGTTGGATTTTCTCTTTTATTGCCTCTTCCTCCTCCTCCTCCTCCAGAATTCCTTTCACATTCAGTTCCTCCTTCTTTCCCCACCCAAATGTCCTGTCCACCATCTGCACAACCCCCTCTCTCCATGGCTCCCACTACAGTAATTTCCTCCTTGCTTTTGCCCTTGCTGTAAATTCCTTCCTCATTTGCTCACCCTGCCGGAACCCCTTCCCACCATGGCTGTTGCAATGACAGAGGAGAAAGGAAGGGGACTGGAATGCACCCTGAGGGGTTGTGGTGGGCACAGGTGCCACAGAAAGAACCCCATACTGAGTCCAATCCATGTAGCACTTACAGGATATAGTCAAGAGTATGTATAGAGCAACTGAATGACCTTTTGTAAGTTGTGCTTATAGAGTAATGAAAACCTGGGTCAGAACCGCTCCAGATTCGCTTATGCCTAATTTGCTAGAAAAACATGTGCTGGACTTTTAAATGTTTTATTGAGCTTCTGGCAGAAAGAGGCAAGATACAAATGGGAGATCAGCTGGTAGTTTATGGAGCAACTTCCCACTTGATATCTGATGCCTGCTTGGCAAATGTGTGAACATGCCCTACGGGAGCTGTGCGCATTCAACAACTGAACTTCCTTTTCTTAAGGAGGAGAGCTCTTTGCCTGGGGTCAGAATGAGCATGGCCAGCTTGGACTGGACACACAGGCAAGGAACCCATCGAACCCAGGCAGTAAGGAACCTCGGCTGGTGCAGACACTTGAAGGCATTCCTTTGGCCAAGATTGCGGCTGGATCCGCTCACAGCCTGGCCCTCTCTGTGTTTGGGACTGTCTTTTCCTGGGGAAAGAACGCTTTTGGGCAGCTGGGCCTCGGAGACACAGAGGGTAAGCAAAAGTATTGCAAATGTGCTGCTGGTGCTATTGGAGATATACTCATAAAATGATAGGAAACATCACTGATCCATCTAGCCCAGCCTGTCCTCCAGGTGTGTTGGACTACAACCCCCACCACCCCCACTGTACTGGGTGGGGATGATGGAAGTTGTAGTCCAATGCGTCTGAGCGGCACCTGGTTGGGGAAGACTAATTTTGGGGGAGGCTAATTTAGCAGAACCCCACCTTTTTCTGTGGCATGACCTATTCAAGGTCTCAACCCCTGTTGGGTTTTTCTAGCATTACTCCCCAAGAGCCTGGAGATGCCTCCTGCATACAAAACAATGCCCCAAGACCTTTTCCCAACCAAGACAGGAAGGAAAGCAGCATACAAGGAGGGGGGAGCTTCTCCACAGTTGCCTTCTGTCCCCTTTCACTACTGGGCCAAAGAGGACCGGGACAAGATCCAGAGAGCAGCCCTGAGTTGTGTTCCTGGTGGCATTTAGCATCAGAAATGACGTGGTGCTACAGGTGAGGACGTGGGAGATGCTTCCACAGGCTCACCTGTGTGTTGGGGCCACACTGCCTGCTGCTCTGTGCTAGACTGCAGGGAGAATGGGAAGGACCTTCTGGCACAGTGAAGGACTCTGTCCTGTCCCTGGTGTTGAACTAAAATGGAACTGCCAGTCAAGTCTGTACATGGGATGGGGTGGAAGCAAACCATCTTGTCTCTGGCTGCAGAGTCTCCTTGGCTGGCCCTGATGGCTGTTTCTGGCCTGCACACTCTGTTGCAATATTCTTCTAACTACAATTCCATAGTGGTTTAAAGCCAAGTCTGCCCATCCCCTGGTGAAAAGGGGATACACCTACAGGTTTTCGACCTTGAAACCATGATGGTTTTTGCCACATGGGGGCAATCACTTCTGCAGGTTGGCCACAGAAGATTCAGCTGAACTATGGAGCAAGGCAGTATAGGAAAGCTCTATTTGAAGGAATTTATAAAGTCATGTACTGTTTCCCTGGGCCTTTAAATATCAGCCTAGTCTTCAGATACAAATCATGTATGCTCAATATAGAATGCAGCATGTGTCGGAGGAAGCTCAAGGAATCGCATTTTGTAATAAATACAAATAAATCAATCATTTCTAGCCAAGCGAGGCCGAGTTATTTTGCTCTGTGTCATTGTTTCTAAATGATCTTTGAACAACATCTCAATGTGCTATTTCGCTTTTAATTCTCCTTCCAGATAGATGTTTCCCTACCTGTGTGAAGGCTTTAGAGCATATGAATGCAACATTCGTTGCATGTGGTGGAGAACATACAGCAGTTCTCTCAAAGGTTTGTCTGCTTGTTCCTTTTTAAATCCAGTTTAGGTTTTTTTTTAATAACCACACATATACCCTCTTTCTCTGGGAGATTTAAAAGAAGCCATCAATTTACGCCTGTATCCGTTGCCACAGTGAGTTCCATTGGCTGATTTTGTGTTGAGCTTAACCTCTCCATGCCTTTGTTTTATATCAGTTGCTGCTCAGGCCAGAACAAATCTTACAAGAGAGAATGTGTGAATCTCATTCTGTGTTTTCCATCCTCTTCCTTCACATCATAGGCTAGCAGTGGCAACATGACAATATCCTGCCAAACATATCCTGCTTTAATAGACATTACTGAGAAAAAGTAGACCAGAAATACAGAGCAGCAATGATACCATGTCTCTTAGAATATCCAGTTCTACCTTCCAGTTCAGAGCATGGCCCTGAAATTTTAAGTCTTGGTGAATAAATGCTTTTTCCGTATTTAACTTATCTAGGATTGTCTGTTCTGTAATTCCACTGCTGCTCAGAATCTCCTGCTTGATGCAAAATACAGTTTCGCAAAAGTTTATTATTACTTTTAAAAATTAAGAAAGAACAAACCAGGTTGCTAGCCCTTAGGAAGATGGGATCGAAAGTCTGTAGGCAATGACTGGTTAAATTCCAGAAGCCAGAGAGGAGCAAAGTAGGATGTCAGATAATCAAATAGTCACAAAAAAACATCAGTGGCCTGTCACATGTATGATGCATTGTGCTTTATGGAAAGGCAAAAATAGACTCTTCCTGCTGCCACATAACGAAAAGAGGGAGAACAACAAAGAAGAGCAAGACAAAGGGATGGCATAGAACAGCCTTCTCCAACTGGGTGCCCTTCGGATGTTTTGGACGTTAACTCCCAGCATCCCTGACCACTTGGTTCTTCTGGCTGGTGTTGATGGGTGTTAAAGTTCAAGCCATTTGGAGGGAAGAGGGCTGAGAAAGGCTAGTATGGGGGAATGTGGGCAAATGAAGGCATACGCACTGAAAGCTTGGTTATTACTAAGTTGTGGGGGAGGAGGAGTAAGTCAAAGCCCAGAAAGAAAAAAGATTTGAGCAGGGATTTGAAGGAAGGGAGAAAGATGGCACCACTGACCTATTCAGGGTAGGACTGAGTCGAGAGCAACTTCAGATTTACAGAGGCACCCTGCTGAAGCCCCTTCTCTTCTTTTTTAATTTTTATTTTCCCAACATATACATTACATAGTAAAAAAATACAGAACAAAAGGGAAAGCAAAATTAACAAAACAAACTAAATTCTTCCTGACTGATCCCCAGCCATGGGCTTAGTGGGTGGTGGAAAGCAACCATTTTATGTTGAGGGCATTGTGGGAAATGAAAATGGCCATCTCTAATGGCCAGGTAACTGTGGTCCTGGGGCTCACATAGGAGCCAAGACTGTAGCAAAACTGGGGCTGGGTGCTGATGTGGAGCCTGGGGAAGAGTTCCCTTCATAGAAAGCAGAAGGAGCGAACAGTAGAACAAATCCTTACCTCGTATTCTTTATGTGGGGTGCTCTATCTTCCTCCTCTGGGCAAACTGGATTTCTTTGGTGCAGAATTTTTGTGGCCAGGCTGCAGTGCAGAAGAAAACGCAGTCTTCTTTGTTTCCTTGGTTCTTCCACACTCTTCTAAATCTTTATTGTTCCCTGTTCAGTAGCAGGAAAAGCTTCTGCTGAAGTATGACATGCTTTTCCTCTTTCCCACCAAGGATGGACTCGTCTGCACCTTTGGGGCCGGCAGCCATGGACAGCTGGGCCACAACTCCACACGCAACGAGCTCTTTCCACGTCTGGTGGCGGAGCTGTTTGGGGCTCGAGTGACTCAGGTTGCCTGTGGAAGGTGAGGAATCTGCATTTTGTAGCAACTTTCCCCAACCTGGTGCCTCCCAGATGTGCTGAACTGCCTCCTGCCCCCATTCCTAGCCAGCCTGGCCAGTGGCCTTTGATGGTCAAAGCAGTTTTCCAGTTTAGCTTTGGAAGGGCCTGGCTGAGTCGCGGCACTTTCATATTCATATTTTGATTCTGTGACCAGATGGCACACCTTGGTCTACATCCCGGACCTGGGGGACGTCTATTCATTTGGATCTGGAGCAGAGGGGCAGTTGGGAGAGGGAGACAGATGTGACCGAAGGATACCCCTGCCTCTTGGCTTGACGCTGAATGGCAAGAACATCAACCAGGGTAAATGAAGCTCATTATCTCTGCATGTGCAACATTTGTGTTCAGGGGAAAAGCACACGAAAAAGCAAGCCAGGATATGTCAGGAGATAGGACTGGACTGAAAAAAAAACCATAATCATATGTTTGGCTTGTGTCTGTACTGTAGTTGTTTTTATAGTCTTATGTATCACTCTTGTTTTCTGGCAAACTTTGTATCTTATCCACTTAAAATGTTGCCTGGTTTCAATAAGGCATCCCATTGATAGTGACCTAGTTCATCTGGTACAACAACTTACCACACATGACTAGGTTGTTGTGTTTCATGAACAGGGTCTGCTCTGCCATGGCTTTTGCAATCTCTTGGGGGGGGTGGGGATTAAGAGACAGTCACAGCAACTAAATTCTGTTAGCAGCCACTGCTGTTGGGGACAGGAGACTCCATGCAGGTCCCCTGTAATGTCCTGAAGGAACGAAGTACTCATGTTAAACCCAGTTGTTTCTCAGGCTCATCATGGATACCTTGCATAAACAGCCAACTCACTGGGGTTGGTGGTGACATCCGAACAGGCCCAGTGTGAGCTTTGCCCCAGCTGCATTTAACTTCGTTAGATTTTCTGGTCAAACCTGAAACCATACATCTAGGAAAGATCTTCTGAAGCTCAATGAACATTCATTTCTTTCCTATCTGTCACAGAAGGAAGTGCTCCAACGGAAGTGGTTAAAATCATTGCTGGCGAGAACCAAAGTATTGTGCTTCTTTTAAAAGAAGAGGTAAGGACAATTGGGGTTAGTCTTCCAAGAATAATGCCAAGTGCCAGAATTCTGGTTTTGTTTTCTTGTATGTACTTATTGCAGCAAGACAAAGCTTCTTTGGATGTCTCCCATACATGGCTTTGCCATTGGAGAAATGGAGTCTCTGTTCATTTTCCTGGGTCTGCCTGGAGTGAAGAGTTCATAGGCAGTGGTTAGCAGACGGACTTTCCTGCCTGTCTCCTACTGCTGCCTTGGGCACCTTCGCATAGGTCCCATTCCTCCGCGTGCCCACCTTCCCACTGCCCTTGTTGCTAGCCATAATCACTCCTCAACCTTTTGCTTCCTACTGATCCCTTTCTCATCACCAGCATTGCCTGCATCAGAGGGAGAGGCCAATAAGTAAGCGGGTTGCACTTGTGAAGGAAAGGCACGACTCCAGTAGGTCCTTGTCCCTGGGGCCTGCTGGGGTACTGTCCCTCAGCAGGTGCCCGACTGTGCTTCCTTTGATGCTAACCCTGCTTCCCTGTACAAGCCAGAAATGGAACCAGGATTCTAAATCTCTCGTTGGCCATCCAGTTAGCAAACTGGTGATGCAAGCATACGTGATCCTTCATGTGATGGCCCCATTTAAGAAAAAATGCCATGGTGGTCAGTGCATACCCAGCAGTTCTCCAGCTTGGCTTTTGAAAAGGCTACATTAGGGCTTCTGCATGGAAGTGGCACAGAAGAGAAATGTTCCACCTCGGAAGAAAACTTGGAAGGCATCCAAGAGATGCCTGTGAATGATCAGCCATACGCATTCACATTCATCTCTGTATCGATGGAGGCCATGCCTGAGGCAGCCTTCTTCAACTTGATGGCTTCCAGTTGTTTGAGCTGCAGTTCCTGGCATTCATGACTCATCAGTCATGCTGGCTGGGGCTGATGGGAACTGAATGTCTTCAAAATGTCTAGAGGGCACCAGATTGGTCTCGTGGAAGAAGCACATTTTCTCTACTACCAAATGCACTGAGATTTGTTCAAGTGCCATCAACTTCCAGCAGGAAAGCAATTCAAGTGAAATTGTACTCAGAATTGTACCTTAACATCCTGCAATGTTTAAGAAGCCAGAATTTTTTTCTTTATGAGTGCCTGACGATGTCATAAGTTCTACATGGTCCTGGTAGCATCACCCACATGGATAGGAGACACATGCATTCCCCGATCTTCCTGGGGCCCTGAATCACAATCTATCAGAGAAAATATTGAGATCATTTTGTATTTTTCTTTGTCTTATACAGAAGTCGTATGCAGATTTAAACAGAATGCTTGTCAGGGTGGAAGACGAAAAGGTTGATAAGTGGCTTTCTAATTTGAACCCCCAGTGCTGCCAGAACATCGAACAGTAAGTGCAGTCATCTCCCTGCTGGATTTTTGCAGCTGATGCAAACATAAGAATTTAAGAGATCGGTTCATAATATACTTCTGCCGTATTTGAAACCTTGTGGGACCAACTGACAAACCCTGAACCAAAGGCAAGGATGTGAGAGCTGGTCTGCGCCTCATGGGTTGGAGTGATTGCCCTTATGTCAAGGGAGATGAAGCCTGTTAGAAACATCTGAAAACCTGGGGTTTCGGATGAGGTCTAGCCTAGTGAGCAACCACTGTTTTCAAGCCCCAGAGCACTCTTCAGGTGTAGAAGAGAATGAGATGCCCTATAGTAGATCCCACAATTAGCAGGGACATAAGAAGCTGTGATGCTCGCTCAGTTGATCACTCTAAACTTCCCCAGGACTCCAGTGGAGATAAAGGATGCATCTAGTTTGAAAGAAAAGTTGAAAGCTTTATTCTAAAGACAGTCAACCAATAAGACTACAGCAAATCTGATCTTTGACAAGGCCCCTGGACTGGCCAAGTAGCCCAGGCTTGGTATAAATTCTAGACTTCCTTTCCTTGCCTGGGCAACAAAGCTGTACTTTCTTTCGGTTCAGTCCCAAAGTCTAGTGCTCCGCAGTCCAAGAGACCCAAAATTATCACCCAGAGAATAGCAGGGGATGGAGACAACAATGAACCATGCCAGCTAGCACTGCTCTCTACAACATTCTTCTTACTTTTTAAAACATGCTATAGTTGAAAGGTTGGAAGTCAGGCACATTTACGGTTAGAAATGGCTGTTCAGCTGTTTGCACCTTACACATAGATTATCCTTTTCAGCAATGAAACACTGCCAATTTATGGAAAATGTGTTTAGCATCAGGATAGCAGAAGCAAACTCCACTTTATTCCTGCACAACCATGATAATGCATGATTTAAGTTAGCATAAAAGCAAAACAGCTGAAACACAGAGTGCTTCTTTTTTGTCAGGGTTTGTAAATAATTTTTTTTGGTTTGTTCTTTTGCTCAAGCATATCAGGGATGTAGAATCAGTGGTAAAGCAGGGTACAGGCATTGGGGAAAATGAGAAATGCTAAACTAAACTAAAAGTCCCCTACCCAAACTAGTAGATCCAGGGACTGTTTTCTTTTATTCAAGTGTACAGGTCACTCCAGTTGTTTTTCGCTTTGTCCCTGCAGTGCTGGCTGTGACAGTGTGTGAATTTTGGGGGTGGGGTAGGGGAGGGGCTGGCTGGAAACATTGAAAGCTCACCTACCTGCACAAGATGTTTCTGATCTGGATCAGGCTCCTGAATGCTTACACTAAAGTAAACAGAAGGATGAGGATCATGCTACATTTTAAACATAGGGTGTAGTTTACCTCTCAGTTGTAAGTCTAGATCATTTCTCAGTGGAAAGGTTGAAATGCCTCTTTATTCCTTTCAACAAACAGGCATGTAAAGCTGGTCTTCTCATCCGCAGCTTGCATCAATGGAAGCTTTCAAAAAATAAGGTAAATGGCACACCTTCAAGTACCAATTGATTCTCTTAAGTGGATTATAAATGGGAGAAAATGTAGAGCAAGGTTGGAGGGAGGGATATATGTAACAGATATCTCAAGATGAGACTGATCATTGCAAAAGAACTTCATTGACTTTTACATTCTTACGGTTGTTTTCATACCCAGTACCAACCCATTATTTATATTTATTAGTAAATTACACCCATACCAGAGCTTATTCCTCTCGCAAGGAACCCAAGTCTTCTGCAACCCTTCTCCTTTCCCTTTGATTCTCACAACAACCCTGTGAGGTAGGTTAGGCCTGTGACTGCCCAAAGCAACCCAGCAAGTTTCCTGGCCATGTGGAGACTAGATCGCCTGAGGCCCTTCCATACTCTAACCACTACACCACATGGATGTCAATATAATCAAAAGTTTTCACAATCAAGGGAAAGCATTGTGATTTCAATTGGCCCTTTTCTTTCCAGTAGCAAGAAGCATTTCAGACCACCTTGGGAAGTTGCAGAGGTGGATATGTCAGCTGTGTTGCTCTTCTGTGAGAAGATTTTTGCCAAACCTAAATTTTTCCATGTGGTAAGATGTGACACTGAATTTTCACATGGGTTTTTGTCTTAAGGCAGTGGTTTCCAAACAAAAAATACCAAAATTATTAAGAACAGCCAAGGCTACAAGAAGCTTATAAGAAACCTCACCATAACAATGGTTCCCACAGTCATTTGGGGACGCAAGACAGTATTTGGTTTCTTCTAGGCTCACTTACCTGCACTAGAAGCTTAGGACTGATACCTGAAAAAATCTGCTGGGGAGGCAGAGAGATCAAAAGAAAGAAAAATTTAGCCCAACAAACTGCAAAATAGCTATTGAGAAAGAATCAGCCAAAATGGAAACCCTGATGGGTTTCATTTGTTTCTTAGATACACCAGGTAAAAAGTGTCAGAGTTGATTGGCAGTTGATTGTTGAATGGGAGCTCAAAATCAGTGTCCAGAAGCCAGTTGGTTTTGGAGCCAGTGAATGCCTCAAGAGTCTGGAAAAGCTCGAGTCAGGAAATAATATAATTGCTGAAACAATGTCCTAGATCAGTGGTTTTCAACCACTGCTCCGTGCACCAGCCCTGGTCTGTGGGAAATTTGCAGGCCAGGGGTGGGGGCACATCCCACACACCACAGACTGGCACAGGGTCTGTGCTCCACCACCTTTTCCTCAGTGCCATCATGTTCACGGGGTGGGGGGGGGCGGAGAGGAGAGAGATAGCTTGATTCAGACTTCAGTAAATAGAGTCAACCTTTTAACAAGTTACAAGCTTCAACTTTTCTTTGTCGAAGCAGGTGGCAATTTCTAATTCAATAGCCCCAGGAGCTTGAAATGTTCTTTTTGTTTCTGAACTCTGTCATCTTTGATGCTCCATTTCTGGTGGAAGATGGGGCCACTGCTGTATGGTAGGCAGGGGGCTTCTAGCTGGTGTGGCTTCTTGCAACTCCTGCCCCAGGAAAAGGAAGTATACGTTTCATTGTTTGAGCAACCGGCTGTAAAAGGAGCATTTCATTCTTGCTGAATTCTTTTTCCCTATTCAAGGTGATGAAGGCTCTGAAGAAGCTCCTGCAGTCTCTTCCTTCCTCTTCTGTCTCCCCTGAGGCACTCAGAGTCTTCCTCATTGTGCCCATCTTCTTACGGAGGCAGGATATCCAGTCAGATGCTCTTCTTGGTCAACTAGCACGAGCAATTTACAAGCTCCCACTGGAACAGAAGCAAATTCTTGGTAAGGCAGACTCAGCTGCAGAAGGATGATTTGATAACTCCAATGAATTGGTTACAAAATTAGAGAAAGATTGAGAGAGATAGAGATGCCAAAAAGGCTGTCTAGCAATCTGGAATATGAAGTGGCTGGGGAAGATCCTACTTTTATTTGCATCCAATTCCAACCCAAAGTCTCAGACACACTTCTGAAAATGCTGCACTGGAAGTGGGAACAAACACCCCCAGATAAATGGAATGTTCTAAAATAGTCCATGGACACCCATGGCAGTAATACTGAATTCTTTGCATGGAGAGCAGAGGTACAATTCCCAGGGACTCTTGCCAGGGATGGGGTCAAACTGCCCCTTCACTGCTACAGCCTCAGGGTGCCTGAATGCCACAGCCTTGTTTTTCTTGAGAGAGGGAGGCAGGGAATTTGGCTTGTGTCGATGAACGATGCTCAAATACCTTCTGTGACCAATTGCATTGCATGTTGCAGCTAGAATAACAATGCAATCCTGTTGCACAAATTCAACTGGGTAGAGATCATTTAGGAATGTTTCAACATTCTGCATAGGAACATTTGTGCTGGCGTATGGGACCGTTCTCATGAACAAACAATTATGCCGGTGGAAGAGCAAGGCTAGACAGTAGGCCAGCTCAGGGGAGAAGAAGCACTTGGTCTGAATCCCCTTTTCATGGGTCAGCACCTTGAAATTTGTGCCCTGCCTTCGTCCCAAAAAATGGCACTCAAGGCAGCTTACAAAAACATTTAAAATAAATTAAAACAATAAAAAATATGTTAAGAGCACGTTAAGGGAAGACATTCCTAAATTACTTTTGGACCAATGTACGAACCAAATCTTAGTTATGTTTCAAAATGTTTTTCCTAATTTTGCAATGGAATTCTTCAAAGGAAAAATGGTATACAAAAAGTGTACTTTATTGGAATAGCAATCACAAGTCCATTAGATTGGGAAATTGTTCCCCAAAATATCTGTATATGAGGCAAAATCATGTATAAAAATCATCTATAAGGAGAAATGTGCAATAAAACTATGTACTGATTTTTATAGAAATCATTAATTTTAAGACAATTCTAATTTAAGTTTGGAAGAATTCTCAAATTTAGCCGAATTTTAAAAGGGAAGAATGAGAAGCAGAGAAACCAAAATTGACAAATTGGACCATCCTTAATGGCTGTTATCTTTTTTTAATGCCCTTAAATATTGGAAAAAAAGTTAAAATGGAACAAATTTCTCAGTGAAATCATTGATACACTGTATTTTCAAAGAATGTTTTTACAGATTTGATCAGGCACTACCTATGCACTAAAACTTTTCATAGTCTTGAGGAATGGAAACCATTTTAAGGGAAACTTGAGACTCAGGATTTAGAAAGAACATAGAAGTGTACCTAATCCCGCTTACTTTGTTTGTGCTGAGCATATCCTTGAATCTGTGCCTAACCTCTGCATAGCAACATTAATGCATAACGTTTTCTGTGCCTTATGCGGCTTCAAACGATCCCTTTAGAGCACCTGGCTGGAAACTGAGGCTGAAAGTATAATTACCAAGCAAGCACTTCCAGAGACTTAGCTGGGGATGCAGTCCTTGGGTCTCTCATTCAATGTTAAGTCTAAAGACGGATTGATTTTATCTTTGTTTGCAATGGAATTAATTGCATTGCGAGCCACAGGGATGCAAAAGAAGATGCATAACTACCACAAATAATTTGCAATCTAGGTGGGACTGCTGTATATAACCATCTGTTCTCTTTGTAGGATACCTGTGGTCTAATCTAGAGGTCACCTTCTTCAAAGATCTAGTGGGCATGTATCGACGACTTATCGGTGTCCGGCTGTCTTCTCCCATTGAACTTCTAAGATGTTCAGTGATCCAAAACCAAGAAGATAATTTCTATTGCTCTCTTCAAGTCATGCAAATGCTTTATAAGGTAGGAGAAATCTTTGCACTGAGGACACGAGGGATTGCATGAAAGAGAAACCGCACTGCCTAACTATAGTATTGATGGGATATAAGCTTGCTCACTCCTCTCCCTTCCTATGGGTGGCAACTTGCAGCCCTTAGCCTAAATTTCTAACTCTCCACAGACGATCAATTCAGACCTCTGTAAGGGAGACCTTTTGTCGAAGAGGCAGGAGATAGTGGGATATAGTCCAGTTGGAGGGCTTCCATAGGTCTCGCCAGGTGGCCCTTCAGCAGTGGGAGCCACTGCGAAGGTGGAGCCCACAGTCATTGAAAGCGAAGCATTTGGGGGGGAAATTCCTAGTTTGGGTTCAACACTCTATATGAGCAGAGGCTCACCTTCCAGCTTCCTAGAAGGGTTTTAGAATGACTTTATCTTGGAACTTCGAAGGGCCAGTATAGATCTGCATCGCAAAGAGACTGTCTGGTATTCTGGAACCTTTTTCTGGGCAAGGAGGGAAGAGCTGAGTTCATGACAGCTTGAACCCAAACTGGGAATGTCTCCCTCAAGTCCTTCCCTTTCAGTTACGCTACGGACTCCATCCTCAGGATGGTTCCTGCTGGTGAAGGGCCAGCTGGCGAGACCTATGGAATCATTCTAGCTGGGCAGCTTGTCTCTCTCAACACCTTGTCATGAGGTCAGGGACTGGACAAGGCAATGGCTCACCCTCCCTCCATTCTTGAAGCCCTCCTGTCTCTTCCAGAACATCTCTGCTCTCCTGGCCAGCCGGGGAGCCTGTGGGCAGGGGCCCTGCGGGTGCTTCAAAGGCCTCCCGAGTTCCTAAAATTCACCTTACCAAGTCTTCAAAGTTGTCTCCTGCAGAATCTAACTCATGGTGACTCAGGGATGCCCGTCAAGAGTGGCCATCTTGTTCACTCACTACAGAAGGGTCCCAGTTTTAGTGGCTAATTTGCTGGGCAATCTACAAGGTGTTGCAACAGATTTAACATTTACCTTCTTGGGATGGCCTTCTTTTTTAAGTAATATTTTTTGGACCTGGGCTAAGTCTGCATATTACTGTCCATGCTGAGTTTAAAATATACCTTTTCTCTTTGGATTGAGGTGGAGGTGCACCTGGTTAATTTTTGTTTTAATCCTGTGCTTATAAATGCAGGTAAATTGTAAAACTGGCTTCAGTATCCAGGAAAGCAACTTTTATGTCCCTGAACTGAAAAAAATAGTGACTCCTTCCAGTTTTCAAATAGTAAGTAATGCATCACTCAAATGGGCGACAATCCTGGGTGCTCTTGCCAACATGAGATTCATTTTTCCAATGTAGTTCTTCATGTAGGGGTTAGTATCTTGTAGAGGAAAATTGCTGGAAGACTATTGTATACTGAGGAGATAGGTGGTATAACACAATTGTCCTCTGATTCCTACCTTAACTGGGCCTCACCTTTGGCTGTTGAGGCCATCGGGCAAGCCGCTTGCTAATTAGGATGGTACAGCATTGGAATGCAGAAAAAGTAAATGCAGAAATGCAGGTACAGCATAGGATGGTACAGCATTGGAATGCAGAAAAAGTAAATGCAGAAATGCAGGTACAGCATAGGATGGTACAGCATTGGAATGCAGAAAAAGCAGAGCGTATCACCGTGAGAGCCGGGAATAGCAGATGTGCCTAGTAAACTGCTTTGACTCTTAGATTTAGGGTAGAGAGAGAGAAGCCGTGCAGCCCCACCGGAGCGGGTGCCAGTGTGAGAGCTAGCTGAGCAAGGAGGGTGACACATGCCAGCCGAGAATTGGGGGCTTTTTCTTTGTCGCTTGCGAGGGTGGGGTCCTGACAGCTGATGGGGGGAAGCCAGCGTATTTGGTATTGTATTTCTTTTTTCATGTTATGTCTGTTTGCCTGTTTTAGAGTATTTTTTTAGACTTTAAACCACCTGTGTGCACATTGCTTCTGGATCCAAAAAGAACCTTTTGCCCTTGGCAAAACTTATCTAATGTCCGTCCTACATAGAGTAGGTGCATTGAAAGGACTAATTTAAGCCCCTTTCATTTAAGTGGCTCTTGTTGGAGAAATCAAAGTTCCTTCAGGATGTCTGTGGCGGCTGGCCCCAACTAGAGACAGGGTCACTCTATATGGTTAGTGTGCCCCTACAATAGTCTTTTTAAAATATAAAACCACTTGCTGGTGTTGCTGGTCAGACAATGAACAAGAGGGGCTTTTTTTGTCCTCAACCAAGTTTTGCAAACTTTGTTTCTTGGATTGAAATTGACTGGGTCTGGATTTCCTTTCCAGATGAATTTTGAAAGTTACAGCTCTTGCAAAGAGAAGGAATATAATTTAAACTTGGATGTAAATTTTATTCATTTGTGTTCAAATTTATAAGCTACTGAATAGTCTGACAGGGCTCTCTAAGGGGCTAGCAACACTTACAAAAAACAGGTTAATATTACAATTACTACAAGTACAGGGGGAGGAGAGGTGGGGGAAGAGAGAGAGAAAACTGCTGGTAGTAGGGTAAACTCTTATAACCAGGTGGTAAAATCAGGTCTTGAAATATCTGCAAGATTTTGGTCCTGTGGATGCAGCATTAGTTTACAGGCAAACAGGATTCCTAACCCATGTTTGTCTTGTAATGGTGATGGAAGGGTGGTCATTTGCACGAGAGAACTGGCTGCTGGGTAGGGTGATTACCATTTTCTCCTCCCAACAGTTTCCCTATGTATGTATCCCATTTTTCCCCCAACCAGGCTTTGAGACATGAACTATGCCAGCTAAGAGAAAAACAAGAGTAGGGAAGCATTTGAAAGGCGGAACAGAGGGATGGAAAGAATTAAGGTGCTCTTCTGTGCAAGTTTATAGAGGAAAAAGGCCCACAATTCCCTGCATGTCTCAGCAGACCTTGGCATGCTGGGAGCTGCAGGCCCCTTTTCTGCCTAAATATGCACAGGATTGCATCCTTAAGCACTCTTACTTCCCAGCTCCCAGTTCTCTCCATCCCATCCCCTTAGCAATTTGGAAACCTGCAATTGTCAATATAAAATATAGCATTTCTCTCAAACTTATCCTATTGCATGCCAAACTGTTGGTGAATTGATCCAAATAGCATTGTAATATCTCATACCCTTCACCTTAAAATAAAAAGTAAATGTATACATCGTTATATGTATTGTGCTTGTGGTGGTGTCATCTCAGGCATCTGCTGGCTGTGGTGGTGTGATGGTATGGAAAGCTCAAGAACATTCCAGCATCTCAGGAGCAAAGTCTTTAGAATGTTGATTGTCCATCCAGCAGGACGATTTTTAAGACAGTTGGTCATAAAATATGTTGAAACTTATTTTCCTTTTCAATTTTGTTTTATCCAACTGGTGAACAGGGAAGAATATGGACACTGCTGCTTGAATTAAATGTAAGAATTACATGTATCCTTACATTGAAATGCGAGCGTTATCATGCTCGCGTTTCTTTAGTTTCAAGTTAAATTGGTTATTGTTGTTGGTGTTAGTCGCAAAGTCGTGTCCGACCCATCGCAACCCCATGGACAACATTCCTCCAGGCCTTCCTGTCCTCCACCATCCCCTGGGGTCCACTTAAGCTCACACCAACCGCTTCAGTGACTCCATCTAGCCACCTCATCCTCTGCCGTCCCCTTCTTCTTTTGCCATCTATTGTTCCCAGCATTAGGCTCTTCTCCAGGGAGTCCTTCCTTCTCATTAGGTGGCCAAAGTATTTGAGTTTCATCTTCAGGATCTGGCCTTCTAAAGAGCAGTCAGGGTTGATCTCCTCTAGGACTGATTGGTTTGATTGCCTTGCGATCCAAGGGACTTGCAGGAGTCTCCTCCAGCATCAAAATGGTTTACTGAAGCTCTCCAAACCCCATCATAGATCAATATGCATGTAAATGTTCCATAGGGAAGGGAGTAGTTTGCTGATATCTCCAAAATTCTTCAGCAAGGAGCTGCGAGCCATTTCTCCTTTGTGAGTACACTCCCTTAGGGCAACATCCTATAGGTCTTGCAACTGCAGGAGGTTTGGAGCAGCCAGTCAAGCATGGTGGCAAGCATTGCTTGCATGTTCCCCTTGCTTCCAAAAACATTTAGATACTCAGAAACTTCTGATCTCAGAGGTGTCCATCTCGAGTTTCTCTATAGCAAAACTGCTCTCTTCCTTAATTTAAATGACATGCCAGCATTCTCAACTATCAGCATCTGAGGTGTTTTAACTAAATACCAAAAAAGTGTTAAAAGGCAGCTGATAAGGACAGCATTCTGAATGTGTGGCTATGTTAATTAGAACTAGAGGTAATATTTAAAAAGCAAAATGCACACACTTGGGTCTGCTGAGAGCCACTGCAGTGCAGTGGTTAAGCGCTCAGGACTGCACCCAGCTGGCCAACTCTCAGCCCAACTTCCCTCTCAGGACTGTTCTTATGAGGATAAGATTGAGAGCAGGAGGAGAATTACATAAGCCGCACTGAATTCTTTAAAAAGAAAATAGTGGGCTATAAATTTAATAAAGACATGATAATGTTATCAAATGTTTATAACATTCTGATAGAACCTGGGAGCTTAAAGTGAAAATAAAATGTGGCAAGGGAAAATTCCAACAAAAAAATCTAATAAATATTGGTATCTTTGTGAAGCAGGCTCTTATAGTTCAATCTACACTCTTCACAAATGTGTTCTTCTCTGACTGTATATGCTAACTATATTAAATTATATCTATATATAAATTAAATCAGGTGCTTAATAGTTATGGGAGGTAAGAAGTGGGGTGATTAGTATCTAGACCAGCAGGACATGCATCAGAAAGCTGCAGTGTGGAATGCTTGCAGTTTAGGGACACTGCAATATTTCCAAGATACTCCAGTCCATCAGCATTCTTTGCCCGTTCAGCATGCTCCATTCCCCTGCCCTCCCTCCACTTCAAGATTCTTTTCTACTGAAGTTTTTTTAAAACTTCTACAAGCATCAGGGTTTCTCTCAAGCCTCCTAACATGTCCCTCCCATGTGTGGGTGGTGCCATTTGGCTACATAAGGACATATTTCATGTTCTTACAGGATATGAAGGATGCAATGTTCCCTTGTTAGTTTTTTGGTGCTGACTTTGCAAGTTCCTTCTTTCAAGTTGTATTTCTCATTGTCGTTTCAGTTGGTCTTCCAAATACTCACCCAGGTCCCTTGCATCTTTGACATGGATGATAAGATTTCTACACTTGAACTCCAGGCAAATCTATCCAGGCAATTCACGGTACATATATCCAGAAAACCTTAGCAAAACATGACAGCAAATGCACCGAAATGACTTGCAACTAAATATGTTTCTTCTTATAGGCAGGCACCAATATGATCAGTGAGCTTCATGTAAGGAGGGAGCATCTGATTCAGGATACCTTGCAGTGCCTAAGAACTGCAGGTGCAAACTGGCTCCAGCATATGCTTCAAGTAAGAAACCCTATTTTTTTTATCTCTAATCAAAGCAGGAGGCACTTACTTACGTAGGATTCAGAGGAAACTGTTGTTAGTGCATCAGATTTTCAAGTATTCAAGCAGTGGCTCAGCTGTGCAGCAGTAAGCTGGTGTTGCTATCTCTGAGCTACGTAAGAGAGCAGTTCTGTGTACCAGAATTAGACCAACATTCTCTTGGAAGTAACCCTCCATATGCTTCCACACTGCTCCAACAATGCATGAAAAAGCAAATTCATCAACAAACCATTACAGAACACTAAGAACAAATTTAGCTTGAAAATAAGCTATCGCTGTTCTTTTGCTTACATTCTATATAATGTTTTTTATTTGGGTATTTTAAATAATTGTAATACTTCACTGATTTCATTTTATTTTTAACTTTTGTACCTTTCTATGAACATTTTAATTGCTGTGAGCTGCCTTGAGTCCAACACTAGAAATAGGTGGGATATAAATAAATATATAATTTACTATTTATCTTTAGTAAGAACTTGTTTTTTTTCCCTTTCCTGCCACTATAGCAAGAGTGCAGTCCTTGTGGGCATCCAGGGCGGAGGGAAATTACCCCCAAACTGCCAGAAGTTGCCTAACCTATAGCAGTAACAGCATTTGTATATCTCCCATTAACAATAAGTTCACTAATTTTGATGATAAAAAAATTGCAACAAACTTTAGTTGGATTGGAGGTTAAAGCATCAAGGGAAAAGCAGTATCTCCGCACAGTCCAGGGAGAAGCAGTCTGGTGCCCTTCAAATTCTGGATGACCACTCTGATAATTCCTAAATTACAAACACACACCAGGAGGCGCATCCATGATATCCCAAAGGGTGTATTCCATGTACTCCTGCATCTTGAAGAGATCTCTTCACATTTTTGACACTTGCCACAAGCCAGTGCTGGCATATCCATGGCAAATACAACAGACATGGAAAGTAGCACTCTTGTGATGGTTTTCATAGATATGAGAATGTGTACTTACTGAAAGAAAGAAACTTGTAAGAGCAAAGATGATTCACGGAAGTGGTATTTCAATGTGCCATTTCTATCCAACATGGGAACGTTGCAAAAGGCATGAACAGGGGTCTAAGAACAGTACCCATTCATATTGCTTTCTTAAATGCCAACAGGAGGCAACACACATCCACGTGCCCACATTTAAACTGGATTTTAGAAGCAAGACCATTGAATATAGCACACATCCTGCACATTCCCAAGCCAAGTCCACAGGAACTGAACAGCAGATTTCAACCAACACAAAACATTATGAGAGTGGTCTTCTTGGAAACAAACTCTAACTAGGGTAACATTTGAGTGTGTGTACACACACACACACGCAAATATAAGAAATCTTGTTGGCCTTTACAGGTGCCTTATTAAAACCAAAAACTTGCTATTCAATCCCATGGTTAACCTAGATTGATTTGTTTCATGGCAAAACATGTTAAATCTTTTTTTTTTTTTTTTCAAATGAACTAAAAATACAGAGGACTTTGCAACCTTGCAGTGCAGCTTAATGAAGAAAAACCCTGAGCAGTAGACATCGGCATGTTCAGTATACATCTAATACTCAACAGACAGTAACCTAAGAATGAAACAGTTAACATACTCCATAGGTTATGTGGAACCTGCATGAAAGGTCCCTAGGTCAAGGAAGTGCGTTCCAAGTAGGACAAAATGACAGGGCTCAGGAAATGTAAGGCAGAGAACATGACAACCTACACTCAATGGTTGGGGGTGGGTTGTCATTGGATCATGGTTGATGTTGACACGTGGCTTATTGTGCTGTTTGAACTCAGCTGTGCTAACAAAGTATGGGTTGTTACCACAAATAACCCGTGAAAAGAACTCATGGTTTGTTGTTAGCTTGTGAACTTTGAATTGCTCATCTTAATTTATTATCTCAGCTAGGTTCGGCCAACATGATAACCCATGTTTCAAGAACAACCCACAGTTCAAGGCCAAGCCACACTCAAGCCATATTCAACCCTTAAATATGACCAAACCCAAAGTATGCAAATCATTGCTTGGGGGCATTTGGTAGTGTGACATCCGCCCTCAGAGTACACCTGCGCAGGGCTTTTTCCAAGGACCAGGAACATTTTGTGGCTGCATCTGCTGCCCCACTCTCACCATTTGACCCCACAGTAGCCATTCTCTTGGGTGCATAGCAGATGGTCATGGAAGAGAAGCCCATCCAGCCCTGTCTTGTCTCTTTGACTAAAGGACACTGTTCAAGTAAGACTTGCCTGCATCAAGCTGATCAACTGATTCTTTGGCTGATTACTCCAAGGGATCTGGTTTGGTGCTGGAAGAGCTGAACTGAGAGTGACAGGAAGCATCCCAGAAGCCATGTGTATCTTCTAATAACATGTGGGTGCAAGTGCATCTATGTATGCTTAGTCCTAGTGGATCACTTTTGATCCCTGGGGCAAAATATTAGCAGTGGAAAAAGGAAACCACAACAGATTCTTTATTCCATGAGTACTCCTAAGAGGCCCAGCACGTTTTAGAGGGACTTAGTTGTGGCGGAAGAGTTTAAGGCCCATCCAGGTCCAAAGGTGGAAGAACACATAAACTGGGATTGTAACTGGCAGCAGCAGGCTGTAGAAACACAGGCTGGTTGTACTCGTGCAGCCCTGGGGGAAGTTCTCCTCTGTGCTGGCTGAATAAAACAGACCAGCTAAGGACAACAATGGGACCAGAACGGTCATTGTAGGCAATGACAGGAACATTTTTTTTCTCTTCACTTGTGCTTGTCTTCCTGTGTCCTTCGAGATAAACATCTAGGTCTGCTCAGATTCGTTTTTCTGCTTGTCTTTGCCAATCATTCTTGCAGCCTGGGGGATCATATTAGGGATCCCGTCAATGATGGGATAGGCAATGCCCAGCTCTTCATTAATTAATTCATTAGTAGATTCTTCATACCTGGCAAACAGAGCAAATATTGACAGACATTAGCTTTAGTACTGTGACTGTTTAAATATGTGAATTAAAATCAGTACTTGTTGAAAGAAGAAGAAATAGGCAAATCAGTCTTTTAGTAGGTGGCTGATTATCACATTTGATATGCCAGTGACTTTCAAATTTCCTACCTTATTAGAACCCCTTCTGCATGTTTGAGCAATGCTGAAACTGGAGCTGGATCTCCAAGGTTATGCTTCAAGTTGCCCAGAACTGTATGGGCAAGGTCTGTAGGTTTATTAACTGCCATGCACAGACAGAATGTTCTAGAATATGCACAGCAACTTCTTGTGGTTGCATAATGCATAAAAATTCTGATCTGACAGGGCATCTTGCCCTATTATTACTGATCTTTTCATAACTGAATTCCTAGCAAGCTTCTGAGAAACTCCAAGTTTCCTAGCAATGGTGGAAAGTCAGTTACAGTGAGTTGTCAGTTACAGTTACTTAATGTGAACAAGCCACACTTGAATCAAGCTGTCAGCACCCCCCACATGCACACACAAATAAAGGTTGAGGTCCATCTACTCCAACAATTTCACTGAATGTTTATAGGAAAAGTGCAGGTTCTAATCCCTAAACTTTGTGGTAAGCATATTATTATCCATGTCCCAAACTGGTAATTAGCTGGTGCCAGTAAGATGCTCTGCAAGAGACAAGCACAGGTAAACATTTTACTTCAGACTCCTGAAAGAGGGCAGACATAATTGCTCGAAAAGAATTTGCTGATCATTATTTTAAAACAGTAACAGGAGGCAGCCAGCAATCCCCGTAAGATGTTTTCAACAAAAATAACAGCACTACATCTGCATGGGCAAAGACTCCCTTTCACCTTGCTAGTGAAGCTGTGGCCAGCATGGACAAGATGTTTCTCGGTCCCCTTTCCCAACCACACACATTAGGGTTGTGGCTTTCCAAAAGGAGCTTCTTAATCTTGTAACTGATCCTCCCCTGTCCTAATTCTAATGGTCTTGGAATGCTTCTCCCTAAGCTGTCCCTCACCAACCTCCCTTTAAAACTATAGGCATGGAGGGTACTTAAGTTAAAGGAGCATGTGAATACCCAGAGAGCCAGTGTGGTGTAGTGGTTAAGAGCATGGGACTGGGACTCAGACGACCTGGGTTCTAGTCCCTGCTCGGCCATGGAGCCAACTGGGTGACTTTGGGCCTGTCACAGACTCAGCCCAACCTACCTCACAGGGTTGCTGTTGTGGGGATAAGATGGAGGAGGAGAATGATGTAAGCTGCCTTGAGCCCTTTGTAGGAAAAAGGCAGGATATAAATCGTAATATAAATAAATAATAAATACCCCTTTAATGAAGTCAAGCCACAAAAAAGATGCCCCCATTCTTAGCCTCAAAATTCCTATTGCTTATAAAAATGTGAGCCTTGAAAGCTTGATGAGGCCAACAATTGAGCAAAATTTCAAGTTGATTCAATACCAATTGCCACAGATGCAGCAAGAGAAATGTGTCCCTTTTTAGCACGTATGTGTCTTTAAACTGCAGCTCAGCATCTATTTTCTTTTTCAAACTCTGAAGGGAAAATTATTGATGTATGTAATTCAGGGATGTTGAGAAGATGGTGCCTTTCACTGGTGAAATTCTGAAGAGCAGTTTAAAAGTTATCAAGGTTTTGCATCCCTTTACCCACTGCTGGCAAAGTAATGTTGGGCATGCTGTGAAGCTGGATTGCTGCCAGTACTCCTGTCCTTTGAATTTCTATGTCTCTGTCAGCATTCTCACAACAGGGAAACGGTAGCACAGAACTGTCAACTGAGATAAATGTAAAATAATTTTGAAGGCTGAAGGAATCACCCTCCCTGAGTTATAAATCTGTCACCCATGGCATTTGCAAGCAGCCACACTTTTCCCGGCTCTCTGAGACCCAAATCTAGCTAGGTGAGAAGGTGGCAGTGTCTGGGACCAGCAAAGACGCCCCACAATGTTCTGGTGCTATACTGTTCAATGAAACACCAGAACTTTACTGCATTGCTAAAGCTACTTCTTGTAAGTTGCTCCATGCCTGTTTGTTCTTCCTAAGCGATTCAATTTTTATCACAGAGCATGTCTGTGAAGGCATCTGCCTCAGCTTCAGATTCCCTGGCTTTGTGAAGCTTGGGCCAACAGGAGAGCTGCCAAGTAAAAGGAGCATAATGTATCTGAAGCCCAACTTTGTCAGTGTCTATCGATGCCTGGTCACTGCCCTAATAAGCAAGTGCTTTCCAGGAAAGGCTTCAGATTCTAGATTGTCAAGAGTTGTGCACTTGCACAAGTCCAAACAAAAAAATAGATAACAAGAGTACTCTGTGGCGCACCCCCCCCCCCAGAAGTGAAAAACTACGTCCACTCTAATGTGCCAATTTGGCATTCTGTAGGAGCTACCACTTTGGAGACAGAAAAAAGCTCAACCAAGGTCGCAGGAGTTTTCTGCTACTCTTGTTTTGCAGCTCACATGGCTCTCTCCTTGACCCATGATGCGACTGGTAAGCCAACAGGTTTGTAAGATGTATCAACCCAACATGGGTCTGGCAATCCATGCACTGCCAGGTTTTTTTTGCTGCCCCCAAACAAGCAGGGTTAGTGGTCCAGCTTTGAATCACAGAACAGCTCGCTGTGATCAGTTACCATGTCATGTGAACTCTGTCAAAATCTATACCTGAACCCTAAATTAAGAATGCATGAAAGTGTCAGAGATAAGCTTAAAAAAAAACAAAAGGGGAAATAAGGAGGAAAGGCAGAAGATAGAACCTGTGTGCTGTGGTGGTTAGAGTGTTGGACTGGGGACCTGGGTGATCCGGGTTCTAGTCCTTGTTTAGCCATGAAGTTCCCTGGATGACTTTGGGCCAGTCATTAATTCTCAAGCTAACCTATCCCACAGGGTTGTTGTTCTGGGGATAAAATGGAGTGTTGGAAGACAATGGAAACTGCCTTGAGTTTCTCACAGGAAGAAACAAAGTGGACATAAGTGTCATCGCATAATAATATATATGAAATTAAGGGGATAGAAAAAGCTTGAGGTGAAGAGCAGGAAGAAGGACGGTATTAAGGAGGGGGCACAAGAAAATGTTTGCAAGCTGAATGTTTGTATATGAGAACTATGAACCACAAACCTAGTAAAGGCAATCATCCCTCAATCTCAATTCACCTGCAATATGAGTTAAGTATACTACCAAGGCATATTGCACTTACACTGTAAAATTACCAAGATGGCAGCTCTGAAAGAAAAATGCATTGCGGTGACAGGGATGTTTAATTTTAAAGGTGTCTGTGAGAGCGATTTATCCCACCGGTTTGCACTTCTGCTAAAATAGGGAAGCGCAGTTGCGACATACAGGGGGAGAGAAACCTTTAGGACGGAAAGGGAAAGACAGGGTGCGGGCAGCAGCGAGATAAGAGAAGGGCGGAGAGGGAAGAGAAGCTCTAGGAGTTAGAAGAGGCCTTTTAGGCCGTCCTCTTAAAACAGCGTGGGCCCAGTTCTGGGGAGGGAAAGGGTTGTTATCACGATGCAAATAAAAACCTCGGCGAGGGGTACCAGTGAGGGCGGAGTCCCCTCGCTATCCGGAACGGAAACGGGGATCGGTGTAAGGCAGCCTTCCCCGGCGCGGCGCCCCCCTGGGTATTGGGCTGCAACTCCCATCATCCCCAGCCAGGGGGGCGCCGCACTTCGGAAGCGTGGCGTGCGAGTTTCATGCAGAAAGAGCTGGCTTGTATTCGGCTGGCTGGCCGGCCGGCCGGCCGAAGGGAGAGAGAGCGAGAGCGGCTCAACTGCAGAGCTCCTCGCGGCTCACCTGAGCGGCTTTTTGGACAAGGGGCACACGAGGATCTGCAGCAGGCCAGGCTCCGGCGGCGGCGGCGGCTCCCCTCCTGGGCCGGCGGCACTGCCCTCGTTCGTCGCGGCTGCACAGCGCGCGCGGCGGGCGGCGGCGGCGGCTGGAGCTCCCGGCGGCGTCCCCCGCCGCGCAGGACGAGTCAGCAGCCGCAGCCTGGGCAGGGCTTGCATGGTCCGCGGCTACAGCTCCGCTTGCGGCAGCACGGAGTGCAAGGTCAGCCAGGGGAGGGGAAGCCCGCCTTTGCGGGACTGTTTCCCGGGCAAGGCGAGCGTCTGAAAAGGATCCCCGGGAGCCCGAGGGCTGCACGGGAGGTTCCTACCAGGAGCTGGGGCTGATCGGTCGGCTGCGCGAAGGCTGCTTTGCTCTTGGCCACGCTTACGGCGGAGCGAGCCCGCTTGCATTTGGAGGAAGGGCTGCGGAAGAGACGGCTTAGCTAGGCTGCAGTCAGAAAGCCAGGCGCCATCTAGAGAAGATCAGGAAGCAAATCTTATGTGTATAATACGTTACGCTTGTGTTGTTTTACTTTTCGGCCTTTTTTCCTGCAAGCAATCCAAGATGGCTTGCATAAAATCCTCCTCCTCTCCATCTTATTCCTACAACGATCCCGTGAAGTAGGTTAGGCTGAGTTGGGATGACTGGCCCAAAGTTACCCATTGAGCGTCATGGCCTAGAAGGGACCAGAACCCCCATCTCCCAAGGCCCAATGCCAGATTCCACCACATGGAGCAAGCACCAATGAACTTGGCGCATTACTGAGTTAAATGTGCATGCGACTTGGGCTTTGTGGCTTGTCATCTGATGCTCATGTGAAGATTCTGTTCACCTTTTTCTGGGAGTGTGCTCCCCTCTTTTCAGTGGGTTGTGCTCACAGGTAAATCTGTGGGATTTAAACCTTGCTTGAAAATTAATCTCCGTGGAGGGTTTGTTCCTTCGTAAATGTGCCCAAAATTGTGCTGCCTGACAGTTTCAGAGCCTGTGATCTCACTATGAGCCAAAACATAAATACAGTGGGACGAAAGTAAAGCCAGCAGAGTTAACCCCCCCACACTCACCCCCCACCCCCCCACCCACCCCAGCATTTTTAGTAGCACAGTGAGATCTTAAGCAGTGGGACCACTTCTGAGTCAACATGAATAGGATAAGGCAGCATGACTTATGCGGAAATAAGTCCAGTTAATGTCATTATTCCCTTTTCACTGAGGTGGCATCGGGTGAGTCATTAGTTCAGTTTCACCCCTACAAAGTGGAAATTGTAGCAACGGATCTTGGCAGTGCTGATTTTGGCAAGAGAACATCACTTATACACAGCAAGAAGAACAAGACACACTTCTGTTCCATCCTAATTATTGTTTCACCCCCAATCAGATGTGTTGGACTACAACTCTCATCATTCTTAGAGAAGGTTTTATTTTGCCTTCCATACTTTGTAACATTTACATGAAACATCTGAGGTTTGAGTAGCAGCACCACTGTGAAGCAAATGGTGCTTAGCTCTGCCTCTCAATTCTGCTTGTTTGTTCCTGTCAGAAGGTGGTTTGGGGGTGGATGAGAGGGTACAAGGTGATATTTCATCCAGGTGAGATGGAGGTATTGTGACTAGAGAAATTAACTATTCAGTTGCAAATCTCCATTCAGATCAGGGAAGGGATGGAACTCGCCCTTGAAGTATGCAGTTTGGAAATTCTCCCAGACAGTTAACTGGGAAAGGCCAGGTAGTGTTTTTCACTGCTATTTATTACATTTTTATACTACCCAATAGCTGAAACTTTCTGGAATGTTCAAATGATTAAAACCATAAAATGCACTATAAAAGTCTTAAATTACACCCTAAAATATAGGAATATATTTTATATGAAGACACAAGAAATAGAAGTAAACTAATTTTAGCAATACCAATTCAGACTGTTATTTGCTGGTTCCTATCATTTACTATTTATATTTTGAAATGTGTGTGTGATGTTATCTCAAGTGTTGGAACTTTATTTGAGAAAGTTTCTCTCATAAGGGTGCCCTGTAATTTTAAGTAATTTAAAAAACCTTAATTCAAATAAATAAATTGGCTAAATTTGATTGTATTTTTCAGGTGTGTTTTGAAGGAGAACCAGGGATTGATGAAGGAGGTGTGGGCCAAGAATTTTTTAAAATCCTTGCAAGAGAACTGTGTGCTCCAGAGGAAAAGATATTTAGGCATTTTGAAGACTCACATCTGATTTGGTTCTCCCGCCAGGTTTGTTTGAAGGATTATTTGTTTTCTGCTCTCCATTTGTGCTGTCCCCTGTTAGCTCTAAAAGGATAAGACTTGCCTTGCAGGGTGTGGTTTTGTTTCCAGCTGGGGCCACGCAGGTGGGTGCCACTGGGTATTTCTAAACAGTGCTTGAAGGTGATGGCTAATCACTGTTGTTGTCTGTACCCTCAGAGGTATACTGCCCCTGTTGATGGAGGTTCCTTTTAGCTGTCTTAGCTGTTGCAGAATTTCTTCTCTCTGAAGTTGCGTGCTTGTTTTTTAGGCCATCTGGGCTAGTGGCCATCGGCTGGTACTATGTGAGCAGCTGTCCCTTCCTTCTTATAAGTAACATTGGATGTCTACATGTTCCACTGTCTGAATTAGCCTGTATGAGAGCCAGTGCTGCTTAGTGATGAGACTGTCAGACTGGGACTTCAGAGATCCAGGTTTTAGCCCCTGCTTGGCCATGAAGCACATGGGATGACTTTAGACCAATTACTGACTCTCAACATAACCTACCTCATAGGGCTGTTGTGAAAATAAAACGGGGATGAAGAAGCTTATGTAAGCCACCTGGGATCCTTGCAGGGAAAAAGGCAGGATACAAGTAGAATAAAAATCCAGTTACAATTGGAAGCATGTGCAAAGGGATTTTGTATTTGCTTTTCAAAACTAACTAGGAACAGCAATAAATGCCATGAAATTTGAAGCCAGGATAGGCATACTGTTAAGTACTACTCTAGAAAACAACCACATTATAATGTCACAGAATGGTGTCCACTCTTTTATGTTATATCAAGCAGGAGTAACTGCTTGCATGATAGTGATTTTGTGCAAGCCACCTGAAATGGACAAAAATAATAATTTCTGAAACAGGGCACCTCAGTAGAGCTTACAGAAGGGAACTCCACTGACTTGTCCCAGCCTTACTTATTCGGATCCCAGCATTGCTTTTAGAACTGCAAAAGCTCCATTGTGTGAGTGGGCACTCCCACTGGCAAAAAGAAACATTAGTTCAGAACACTTTCTGTGGATCTTTGTGATCTCAGGTCTGCCAGTAGTAGCAGTGCCGAATATTGTGAATGTAAGGCATGGGCAAGTTCTGTTAGACCTGGCCTACTGCATTTTAGGCCAGCCACACAGAGCTAGCCTAAAAGAGATTTCTGCTGCTGCAACAAAAATAAAGTAGAAAGCCAGTGTATAGGTTTTGTGAGCAAGATACCCTGGTTTGACCTGCCGGAGGTGCCTTGCTTTCCCGCTTGGGCCAAGAATGGAGAAAGTGCTCCTCACTGTGGGAAAGCCCACCATTCAGTGGTGCGACACATGCTTTGCACACAGAAAATCTTGGGTCAGAAAATCTCCCGTCGGAGGCTCACAGGAATTCATGCTGGCACAGTCTGCCACAGCTAAGCTGTAATTTATACTGTTAATTTATATAATTTTAAGGAAGTTATTTATGTTTGTGAGCCACCCTGAGGCTTCGGCGAATGGGGTGGCATAGAAATTTCCCAAATAAATAAATAAGCAAAGTCTGCACTGCTAGGATAGATGAACCACTGATTTGACAGACTTGGGCAGGCTCATGCAGTGCTGTATCCAATGCAGATGGAATTGTGCTTTCAGTTCTCCTTTGTTTCATAGTCTGTGCACTCCCCGGAGAATCCCACAGGACTACAGGATATATGGCCACCCTGATGTAGTGAACAGCGATGGACAGAATAAAGGAGCCAAGCAAGGAGGGCCAAAAGAACTTGGACAAGCCTTCCCTAGTGTAGAAACACAAGCTTGCACTCTGTCCCAAGAGGAAGAAGCTGCAAGTGACTACCATTTAATAGTGACTGCCCATTAATAGACCAAAATAGTTGAGGAGACTCAAAAACAAAGCAACTTTCCCTTGATAACAAGACATACTCTTTCTCCATTCAAGCGTTTAGTCTAATATTTCAATCTGTGTGCATTGAATTTTCCAATTAGGCACCAGCAGAGGAAGACATATATTTTCTGATTGGGAACCTGTTTGGACTAGCATTCTATAATATGAAGATTGCAGCTTTCCCTTTCCCTCTTGCTCTGTTCAAGAAGATGCTGAATTTTCAGCCAACTCTGGAAGATTTAAAAGAGTTGTCTCCCAATTTAGGAAGGTATGAATAATGCTGTTACTTATTTCTATATTCTGTGAAGGAACATTCTAGATGAAGTTTTTCTGCCATGTTTTATGAATTATATGGATTAGAGGGTATTTGTGTTTTTTTTAAATTATCTTGTATGTGAAAGAGATTCGGTGCCTGATCTCTCCTTTCACACCCACCATGGAAAGACCCAACTGGCTGATTGCAGGAATCATAAAAACAGCCTCGGAGAGGTTGGAAGGGGAGCAGCTGCTGGTGGGAAAGGGGAGAGGAGAGCGGAGGAGAGGCAGGGTGCAAGCAGGCCTGTAGCCGCAGTCCCACCCTGGCAGGGTGTTCCTCCTTATGGGGTCAGGGGAGGAAAGCACTGAGGACTGAGAGGCAGAATGAAAATGAAACACTGTGGACTGAGAAGCAAGAACGGCTTCCACTGCTTTTCTCCAGCTGCAGCAGCAGCTTGGGAGGGCCATGGCTACACAGGCACCATGGGCTTGCTTCCTTAATATATAAGACAGAAATAAGCACACAGCAGAAACCTGAAGTGAAAAGTTGCAGAAAGGGATACAAAGGAAAGGGAGGAGGAGGAGGAGGAGGTGAAAGTGGAGGAGAAGGATTGTGCCCTTTATTGTGAAATTGGGAGGGAGTGCATTTATTGTTACAAAACCAAATCAGAAAATATTTCAATACCCTAAGAAATCCTTTGGTTAGGAATTGTGTTGAGCAGTTTTGTTTACCTGTCTAGTGGACCACTGCCTGTGGTGTATCTTTAAACGTACATTCTAGGAAGCAGAGTTAACAATAGGATTACACATAATCCTATTAATTTAAAGTATGGTCAATCAAGTTTTAGAACTGGAGTAAAAGTATATTTTATTTTTCTCTTTTTCTCATTAGAAATCTTCAAGAAGTTTTGGATGAACCTTTTGGTGATAACATTGAAAACTTGGAGCTGGACTTCACGGTAGGAGATGCTGCTGCTTTTCTGATAGCCTCTTGTTCCTTATACACATAAGAGGGTGAGCAGCTTTATTTTTGTGGCTGAGCTGCACATTTATAGTTAAAAAACATACATCCTGCTCTCTTCCTCTCAAAAGGACCCTCACAGTTGCTTGCAATACATATCACAAATCATAAGAATAAAAACATGTGCAGTCTAACCAAAAAGAAAGAGGAACTACAGAGTTTTCACAAAAAATGACATTACAGGCTCAACACCACTGCTGTTAAAGGTGACCAGAATGGAGCTGATCTACAAGGGCAGTAGTGTTAGTGCCAGTGAACCTCTCCGGGTAGGACATTTACGGATATCTGAGGTGTCTGGAGCAAAGATAGCCTCTCTTCAGTTGTGAGCAACTTCCCTTTCAAAGGCAGGGTTTTTCCAAGGAAAGCTTTCAGAAGATCAGCTGAATTGCTAGGCTGCTTAATGTGGGAAGAAATTTGTATATCGTTCTGTATCATTTACGTGCTTGAACATAGTATCTAATATTTGAAAGACAATATTAGCATCTCTTAATGTTCCATACCCTTTTTTAACGACACCTTTGCCCCTGTACAGATAAGCGGAGAAGATGGAGTAGACACTGAGCTGAAAGAAAATGGTGCCGCCATTTTTGTCACCAAGTACAACAGGCAAGTCTGTAGTGTTTTTCATGTGTCATCACACTTAAGCAGCATTGCATGCTACAAACCTGATGACGATAACGTAGGACATATGGATGTGGTGAAAACTGGTGGGAAGAATGAATGGCTCTTGCCCATTCACGGATTTTTGTCCCCCTGGAGATGTTCTTCATGGTAGTCTTTAAAACTGTTGTGCCAAGCATTCCCTCTAAGACCCAGCCAAATTCTGAAATGGGTAGCCTTTCTGGATGGGAGGAAACAGCCAGGCGAGTGTCAGATTTACATGGGAACATTGCTGATTGCAGGATTGACTAAGCATCCCCCTCTTCCCTGAGCACCACTGCTTCCTTTAAGTTGAGACGATTTTATCCTGCCTAAACTTGTACAGGATTGCATCTTAATTTATCTGTGGCCTCACTGACCACAGCATGATTCTTCTCTTAATTTAGAACTCCTCATCTGGGTAGTGGAGCAGAGAGCAAGAAAAGCCCTTAGGGAGCCTTAGCTAGAAACTTCCTCAGGCTGTCACATCTCATGTCCCATTAGGAAAAAGCACATGAGATCTGAAAGGCAAGTGTGTGACTAGTCTGCAGATAGCTGTATGTGGCGATCAAACCAGTCAGTCCTAGAGGAGATCAACCCTGACTGCTCTTTAGAAGGCCAGATCCTGAAGATGAAACTCAAATACTTTGGCCACCTAATGAGAAGGAAGGACTCCTTGGAGAAGAGCCTAATGCTGGGAACAATAGATGGCAAAAGAAGAAGGGGACGGCAGAGAATGAGGTGGCTAGATGGAGTCACTGAAGCAGTTGGCGTGAGCTTAGGTGGACTCCAGGGGATGGTGGAGGACAGGAAGGCCTGGAGGAATGTTGTCCATGGGGTCGCGATGGGTCGGACACGACTTCGTGACGAGCAGCAGCAACAACAACCAATATATATATTGTTTCACATTTTCAGTTGTTCATAGCACTTCACATACATGAACCTGTTGTAATCTTGACAGCAGCACTTATCCTATGTGCTCTTACGCTAACATTTTGATAAACATAGGGAGTGGCTTCCCCAAAGTCACCTAGTATGTTGACCACAGAGGTAGTATTCCAGCCAGCAGTTTGCTAAGCCCTGTATCCATACATTTGGAATAAGTTCCATTGAACTTAATGGGACCTCCCTCCTTGTAGGCATGCATGGATTTGCGTGGACAGCCTGTTCCCACCAGATAATGTGTCCCAAGGGATGGATGAAATTGCCATGCCCTGTGCTTGGCAAGCTTTGGAAAGCAAGAATTCAAGACTCATGATGTGGTTCTCTACTGCTATTCATGATTCGCTGCTTATATTTGTTTATTGTTGCAAATTGCTCTTCTCTTGGTCCATATGCCAGTTTAGATGTTTCACATAAATGCAGTCTATACATGTAGTAAGCAAGAAAATTAATATATTTACAGGAAAGAATATGTTGATGCTTGTGTGAATTACCTGTTCAATGATTCTGTGAAGAAGCAGTTTGAGGATTTCATGCGTGGATTTGAAAAAGGCTGCCCAATTAAACACTGGAAATTGTTCCTTCCTGCTGAACTCCAAGTTGTTCTGCTTGGACATACAGAATACAACTGGCAACAACTAGAAAAGGTAGAGTATTCACTTAACCATAACTGAGTAAATCAGTGGGTGAAGTGCTATCAAATGCGTCCTGCGACACACTTCCTCTTCAGCCCTTCCTGTCTCACTTTCAGACTAGCCCTTCCTATTTGGGGAATGTGTGTTACGCGTTTAGTGTATGCATAGGTTTACTGACATAATTGGTCCTTCTTTTTTGGAAGGGTGGGTTAGCACACACACACATGTGTATATGGAGGTGTGTGAAAAACAGCACTAACTTTTTCCTCAACCACAGAACCAAGATAAAAGATAGTTAAGGAAGTGTGTGTGAAAATCAGAGAGAATAAGCAAGTCGGTAGTATACCTGGCAGAGTGGTATACAGTCAACATAACGGCATTGACAATAAGTACACTTAATAAGTCCCACTGAATATAGATGGAATTACTTCAGAGTCAACATAGGATTGCACTGTTAAAGGTTCCGGAACAGGCCCAGGAGAGTCTCAGTAATATAAGAATCCAAGCAGACTCTAATACTTTATGGGTACTCATGGAGCCTCACCTGCTTGGCAAGATGGGAAGGATGCCTTCAGACTGTGCCAAGAAGCTGCTTGGGGCAGTGACGTCCTTCAGCTGGATCTCAGCAGCTTAAGGCCCCAGTTACAGATGCTGCACAACATTAGTCTAACCAAGCTCTAACAGGCTTCTTAGTAACCCTAGAGTTTTGTGATATTGAAAGCAATGGGCAGAGAATTAGCTGGTCTCCATATAGGTTATTCCTTTGTCAAGACCTGGATTGTAACATACAGACCTTACCCCTGCCAAAGGTTCCTCTGTTCTTAGATTCAGAAGCCACTGCTGCCATTTTTGACAGTTATACAGATGCATTCAACACATAGCATAAGGTAGGCTGCAGGTTCTTGCCTTGATACCTGCTGGGCAGCATATTTGCTCAGAAGAAATGTGTGGAGAAGCAGTGTTCCAGTTCCATCTACAAAAATGTAAGTAATATCTAGCTGGATTTTGCTGGGCAATGAATGTGGGTTTTTATGAATGAAAATCAAAGGATTAACAGAGCAGGGCTATTTTTGTTCTCTGACAGAATGTCAAGTATAAGGATTATGAAGAGTCGGACGAAACAATCAAGAATTTTTGGGCTGTCTTTCATGACCTTCCAGAGAAAAAGAAGAAGGAATTTCTTGGTAATGTGTGTTTCTTTAAAAAGAGAAAAATAATCATTAATCTAACACTATGCCACTCACTTTAAGAGCTTTTATAAACAGCTGATCCACAGAGAACCTTACTATATTAGGATTACTATTTCTGTTGTTTACACAGTAATCCTAAACCACCTCCAGAGACTTCCAGTTCTTGGGGGTCATTCCACAGAATTTTAAACTTAATAGTGTGTGGTGGGCTGAAAGCCACCCAATGAATGTCAGTGGTTGAATCCAGATCTCCCCTTGTCAGATACAACACGGGCTTCCCGTAGTACCAGGTTTCATGATACCAGTGGGCATCTCCAACAGCACTCAAGAAGCTCTCCCCACCCAACCCTCCAAAAAAAGTTTTTAATAACCAATGGCAAATGTTAGTTGACTTTCTCTCCCTTTTTCTCCCATGGTCATTCCCTCCTCTGTACCTTGCTGTTTCCCCCTCCCTCAGCCTCTAGCATTGCTATTGCCTCCACAAACATCTTTTAGCTCACTGCTTCTCTCTCTCCAAGTCTCTAGCCCTGCCTTTTCTCTACCCTTGCTTTTTCTCTGCCTCTTGACCTTGCTGTTTCTTCCCTAGCTTTACCATTTCTTTCCCTGCCCCTCATAATTTCACTATTGCCTAGCCAGGCCCCATGGCAGACATTTTGTGACTGGCCAGATCGCCACAGGAGCCATTTTTTTTGGTGGTGCCCTCTGTACTTCCTCATTTTTTAAAAAATGTGGGCAGGTTCAGCACAGATGGGGAGGCTTGAACTCCCAACATATACCCTGGGTCATGCCACTACATCTGGGGTGGGCCTCGCCACTGAGTACCACATCTGTTTAAGCCCATGGTAAAGGAAGCTCCCCATGCGTACATCTTGCCCTTACATGGGTGCTTCTGCCGGGCTCCCTTCTGAGGTACGGAACAATCCAGTATCTGTGAGTCTGCAGCTTCAGATGTTCCTACCCCATTCACTTGGCCCCAAGTGCAGAGGAAGAGGGGCTGGCCCCAGCTTTCTGGGATATGTCCGTTGCATATTTTCTTCCTCACCATGTCCACCACACAGACAAGCTGGAGGCTCGTTTGCCAGCTAAAGGGGAGAGCAGCCTTCCTCCAAATGCATTGCCCTTACTAATTGTTTGCCAGGTATGTTCTGCTGTACCTTGTGTAATGGTTGTCATCTGTCTTCAGCGTTCCTTACAGGCACGGATTGCATTCCAGCTAAAGGGATGGCAAGGTTCACATTCACGATTATGGATTCAAGGCAAGAAGATCCGGATCTGTCCTACCCCAACGCCAGCACCTGCTATAAAATACTGCAGCTGCCTAGATACACCACTAGAGACATTCTTAAGAAAATGCTCCTGCATGCCTTGGAGAACCATGAAACATTTGGCCTTTCTTGAAGCCCAGAAGCAGTTTTTGGATGCTCTTGTTTCAAAATAGTCATCATTTTCCATCTCTTTTGCTCACTGAAAAGATCCCCACCACATCACATGTTTTTGTGAGAAAGATCCTTTCCCCCCTCTCCTTATTGCCAGTGTGATGTAATGGCTTAAGTGTTCAGCATTATGAATATTACACTGCCATTTACTACATTACATTCTTTTTTGAATGTGCTGAGATCTGGGTTCACAACGCCACACAAAGCTGTGAAGCTTGAGGAGTGACTTCTGTCTCTCTGTCTAACCTACCTCACAGGGTTGTTACGAGGATAAAAGGTGAATGGGACCATGGGCACCGTCCCAAGATCCTAGTAGGAGAAATAAAGTCATTTATTGTCAAAAAACCTTAACATAGAATTGCCTTTATTTGAAAAAAAAAATTGATAAGGTGGTACAAAGCTACCTAAATGGTACACAAGTGCATTGCAGGTTCTTGGGAAATACCATACACACAAAATTCCACTTCCATATCACAATAAGCCATCCTGAGGCATTGTTGTAAAGCATATAAATGTTTTGAATGAATGAATAAATAAAAATATATTCTTTTCTAAAACAAATGATGCTTCTTCCCAAGCTAAATGTGTTCATCTTCAAGGCGATGGAAACAAACTGTTTTGTTTCAGTAATCATGAATGTGCTATGATTTGAGTTTAGCATGCAAACCTGCACACGGTCAACACTTTCTTTTTAGAAATCAAGGTCAGCAAGCAGTTTCTTGAGTTTTTGCAGTAGCATAGCAGGGATTTACTGATGTTTGTGAAGGATGGAATGGCAATGCAGTGGGGTGAGATAGGGAGTCGGGAAAAGAAATAATTGTGACTTGGCCACAGGTAAGACGTGATGCTATGCATACTTGCGCAGAAAAACACCCTGTAACTCCCAACATGCCCAGTGGCCAGCTGGGGTATCAGAATCGTGGGGCTTTTCTGTCCCCACACACACTGTGATGAACCAGGTTTTCCTCCCTTCGCACAATCAGGGCCACAGACTGTAGCTTTTGAGTCATCAGAGTATAAACTGAATCACTACGAAATGAATCTCTGAGCATGCACAGAACAGTTTGTTGAATCTATTCTAGCAACTGCTTCCGGGAACCATCTTTGAGTATCTCTGGGCCAGTCCTTTTGGAAGTGAGCACACCTTTTCTCTGAATGCTAACCTTGTAGCTGGCTAGCCCTCCTCTCCTGACACCGTGTCATGGGATCAAGAGTCGTCTCACCTTCATCTGGTTCGGACAACTTCCATGCCCCCTCCTGGGAGTTACGCATCTTGATCCCTTGATCTTCCAGAATGTCCGGAATATTGGTGTGCTTCGCTTTGGACATTAGAGCATGTGGCAACTGCTTTCAGCCAATTCACTTCAAGCCCAGTCTCTGAGCTGAGTCACAACTGAGGCAGTTTGCCCCCAACAATTGGCCATGCTGGCTGGGTATGATGGGAGCTGTAGTCCAATGCATCTGGAGGACGCCACGTTGGGAAAGGCTGATCAAAGGAACCCAATGTGGTGGTTAGAGTGTTGGTCTGGGACTCCAGTTATCTGGGTTCTAGTCCCCACGTGGCCTGGAACCTCACTGGGTGATTTTGGGTGAGTCACAGAATCCCAGTGTGACCAACCTCACAGGGTTGTTATGAGGATTAACCTATTGCAGAGCTGCCTTGGGTTTCTTGCAAGAGGAAAAGGAGATGGGATAGAGTACTACTAGGTGAAAAGGGAATGCATATTCAAATCAAAGCACCACGTACAATGCCGCTTCTGTTCCAAGTGGAAAAAATAGATCAAGCCAGCACTGCCTATCATTTCTGACACCAGTACAAAACAAAAAGATAGCTTGTTTCACAGGAAGCAAACCAGCAAAGTTGAAAAATGACAAGAATGGAGTGACTATGAAAGCAGATGCAAAATTGGAAGGGTTGACTGTTTATAAAAGAACCTCATGCACAGAATTGTTGACATAGTACAAAGTCAGAAAGTAGCCATTTATACAATCCCCACCGCAACCCACAACAATGAAACCCTTGTTTTTTGCCAAATAGCAATTAGATTGGGAACTCTATATAATTCATTCAGGATTAAACTGTTTCAAGGCCTGACTCTGCACACATCTTGATTGTGAGCCCCGTTCTAAGCAAGCCTCAGACATTTCTGGCACCATAATACGAGTCCTGCAGATGCTTAGTAGTGGTAATGGGATCAGACCCTTTAGGCCTGCCTTCCGCAACCCGGTGGCCTCCAAACGACAATTCGCAGCATTGCTGACCATTGGCCACGCTGGCTGAAGCTACTGAGAATTGATGTCTTAGACATCTGGAGGACGCCAGACTGGAGACTATGTAAGGAGCCAAGATCCAAAATCTGTAGCTTGATGAACTCTTCAAACAAAGAGCTGAAGTATAAGCAGAAAGCCACCTTCAAGTTTCTAAATGCCTCACAATCTCCCTAAAGATGGACCTGCTAGCTGTGAAAAGTGAATGGATGGCTTCGCGCCATGTCCTTTGCATGGAAAGTGTATCTGGAATGGACAGCCTATTATTTCTGGCACGTACTCCATTCCTTCCTGCAAACAGACATGCTCCATCTCCGATGTGCACCGCAGTCATGTTGTTCCTTCACAGCGCTTCTAAAAAAGACCGGAGGAGGCAGGTTTGACAAGCTTGTCACGTTCTGATTCATTTGCCCAACCCTTTCGCCCGCCTGTTAATCATAATTGTCATTTTTCATGTCTGAATATATTACTATCCATTTACAGTCACTGTTGCTTTTGTTTCAAGTCAGAGCCGCAACTAAGAACTGATGCTAAGATGCCAGTTCCTGCTCACCACATTTTAATACTCTCTGTACTAGATGCTAATTTCATTCATCAACATGTACTAAGCCAATCAAAAATAAGAAGGGCTAGGAAAAGTCCAAGGGGGGAAGGAATAATGTGTGGGGGAAGTGGAAGAAGACCACTGGTGTTTTCCCTTACGGATCTTCAGCTATTGGCCACGATCCAACAAAGAAATGAGCACTCTTAAGTCTATAGAAATCAATGAGCTCAAGTGTACTTAACTGTATTGCATGGTGGTCATTTTAAGCATTTATAAAATGAAAGGATATTTTAAAAAGTGATCAAATGGTACTTAGAGTTTTATTTTTTAGTGCGGCAATGAGATCTATGCGTTCATGTTCCGGAAGGGGGGATAAAAGTTGAGTCAATAAGGGGCAATTCATCACTAAAGCCCTCCACCTGCAGTCCCCAGCCACCCAAAACCGGAAGTAATAAAAGGAACAGATTTCATGGAGAAAGCTGCTAACTGACCCTGCAGGGAAGACTTGTGGAATAGAAGCTACTTGTGAATACACATGAAAGAAAGTCCACTGGTGTGAGAAGGAACTTGCTGGATGCTATAACACTATCTTTAGTGCTGCGAGCAATGTCCATCTTAGTCACTGGCTGGCCATGTGCTTTGGTGGCTGAATGGCCCCAGAGACCCATGGGGCTGGATGAACCAACGTCTGATCTTCCCTGGTGATTCTACTTCCAGCTTATTACAAAAAGGAATGCTGCTGCAGTGCTTAGCAAGGACTGGACTGAATCAGTCCTCCCATTTTTTGCTTTCCTGGAAGTCTACAGGAAGCATTTATTGCACAATTGTGATTCATCACTCACAAGAATTTGTGGATGCTTTACATCAGAGGTCCTCAAACTTTTTGAATGGGGGCCAACTGAAAGGCTGTGGTGACCACTGCGGGCCGGTGAGGTGCCGTTGGGCGTGCGCGAGGAGGCATTGGGCGCGCGCGGCGGTGGCTCGCTCGCTCGCTCGGAGATCTCCCAGTGAGTCCAAAACCATCTCTGAGTGAGCGAGCCACCACCTCCCCACCGGCACAGCAGGCACGTGTGCGGGTGGCGAACAGCGGTGTGGGCCAAATGGATGGCCATGGCGGGCCGGATCCGTCCAGCAGGCCATAGTTCGAGGACCCATGCTTCACATGATGGCACCAGCTCTGCTTCTTTGCAACCATTGCCGTTTTTTTTCTTTTTATGTCTGGTATTATTTGTGAACGGTGGCATGAAACCCTCATGTAATATGGCAATTCTACTATACCACGAGTGCCATGTAGTGCTTGTGTAATGGTAGAGAACCCCACCTCCCAAAAGATGCAAAAGTCTTAATGCCAGAAAGAATCTTGAAGCAAAAGGCTCAGTAAAGTAACGGGTTAAAAGCCTCATGTAGAAAAGCCTTGGAAATATGGAACCATTCATTCATTCATTCATTCATTCGATTTATATCCTGCCTTTTCCCCCAAAGGGCTCAAGGCAGCTTACATCATTCTCCTCCTCCATCTTATCCCCACAACAACAACCCTGCGAGGTAGGTTAGGCTGAGAGTCCGTGACTGGCCCAAAGTCACCCAGTTGGCTCCATGGCTGAGTGGGGACTAGAACCCAGATCCTCTGAGTCCCAGTCCCAGGCTCTTAACCACTACACCACACTGGCTCTCTATTAACCAGTAGGTTAATCAGCCCTCTGCCCATGTTTCACCTATGCTGGGATGTTTGCACATGAGCTGTTTCCTGTGGCACAACCACGCTTCTTCCTTGAACCAGAACAGTGGGATTCTACATTCTACATTCTTTTAGGAAAAACCAGGAAAGTGGTGCAGACTCCTCAGGTGTAGATAATCTACAGCATTTCAAGGCTCCATTCTACATCTCAAGGGTGAGTTTCCTCATCTCAGAAAGAGTTAGCCAGCTTGTTCTCTACAAGCACAGCTGAAACGATGCTTGGCAGGTATTTCTGGCATAGTTTAGATGAAAGCATTCACTTTCCGGACTTCCTAAGGATGCTTGAACTCTTCCTCTAGAGGAAGTATAATCGAGAGGTTCCAATCCAGCTCATCTACTCCCTGGGGCAGGGTTTCAATCTGGAGCTGGATTCCCAGAAACCTCTGGAGTAAAAAGACAGAACAACTAATACACAAATGTAGAGCATTGCCTGTTTTGGCCCTGTAAAATCTAGAACTGTATTTCTACCAGGTGGGAAAAATAATTTACAGGTACAAATGGAATTGTTAGGCTTCTAATTTTTTTGTCCTGCCTTTTAGCTACTAGCCTGTAGACACAATACTGCCAAGTATTACTGAATAAAACACAGAGATCTTGAGGTCACTAGATGCACAGCATCCACTGAAGTCATGCTTTGTGAAATCAGAGGTTTAGTGCTGTTTCATTGGCTGGGGTCAGAATGAAACATGAACCTCTGTGAGGCGTGTGTCTTGGCCCAAATTTAAGACAGCATCCCCTCGTGAAGAGTGTATGCCATCTTGAGCCCACATGTGGTGGCTGAATAATGTGTCATCT